ATAGTTGATTAATAGTCACCGTACAAGCTCGATCCTGAACCCTATTGAGCCGTTTAGCAGCAGATCTGAATCATAACATTTCTAGGGAACGTGAATGTTGGAGTTGCCTACCTGCCTTGGTTGAGATGGTTGGTCTGTGAGTCACTCCAAGTGGCTGCATCATCTTAACGGGCATTCACATCGTGTTTCTCCAGAGCAATCTGATTTATTCTCTTTAATGCTCTAAATCCATTTCTCACTGTACTTGGATCAATTGAATGCCCCAAATCGTATGCTGCATTTCATTTCATTTCATTTCATTTCATAATGCTGCACTACACTGGAGCATAATGCGCGCTTATGGAATAATACGTAACGATGGTTGCATTTGGTATAGCGTCATAATAAGAAGAATAATCCTTGCATGTCCTTATACTGTCCCTAATCACATCATAGAGACGTCTCAAAGCGCTTCACAGAATATACTGTAAAGTGAATTGACTGTATATTGGGCGAAGCGCGGCAGCCAATTGCGCACAGCAGGGTCCCATCAGAAATCGTGGATTGATTGAGTGAGCGCAAAATTATTACTATTATTTTATTATTTGGATATTATTTTTATCCTTTATCCTAGACTACGTGAGATCAATGGTCCTGACATGGAGTTTGGTCCCACAACCTCCTGACTCAGAGGTGAGAGCGCTACCAACTGAGTCAGCCACCTTTTAATCAGCTAGAACCGCAGAGCTCGCTATTGAGCTCTTTGGCAAGCTTTGGGCCACCCTACCCATTACTTGCAGTATTAACAAGTTCCCTGTAGTGAAGGAAGAGCTGTTAACTAAGAGTAAAGGAAATGAATGGCGACTATTAGATTCAAACCAAGATCTCAGGAGTGAAACAGCCCATATGCACACCCCCCCCACCCTCCCCATTTGCAGTTATTCCTCTCCAATTTCTAGCTTCACGAGTTAACAATGAACTAATGACAAGATGTTAACCTGTTGACAAAAGTATTAGACTAATAGTGACCCTATTTCACTATTTCATTTCCTGCAGAAGTTTATGGTTGATTGTTGTGTTAGTATGCTTGCCAAAATCGTTTAACGATATCATTCCAAACCCGGTGAAGACACAGAACAGAGAACATTGCCTCACTCCCACATAACTCAGTGTGAGAAAACGGCACAGGGACTTTCCACGTAGGAGTGGTGTACTCAAGAGGAACCCTTATTCTAGTTTGGACACAATTTTGTCAATCATGATACGTTTTGTGTTCGGCTGCCAAAAAAAAATCAGTGGGAAAATAAAAACGGAGAAATGAGAGAGCCATACGTGGAGTCCTGTAGCTCGGTGGTTAGAGCGCTCGCCTCGAAAGCGAGAGACCTGGGTTCGATTCCCGGCGGGGCGAAACGTTGGGCAAGTTTCCTTACTCCACACGCCTCTGCAGTATGTAGGAACCCGGTTGTTAGTCGATTGGTGGATCACTTTCCCGGGGGTAATAATTCCTTCAAAAAATAATAATAATAATAGTCACTCAATCCGCTGCCGTGTTTCGCCCACAAAGTATACAGTCAACTCGCTTTGCAGTATATTAGGACGTCTCAAAGACGTGACAAGGTGCCATATCAAATGCAAGGATTATTATTATTTCCTTAACTAGTTAATGTATTAATTAAGATTAGGAACACATTAAGGAATACCGCAATTTTTCCCCCCATAAAGTCCGACTTGGTTTCTGAGGTTCAAAGCTCTTGACTAACACTTCTGTGCTTCCAAACTAACCAGGTTTAATGAGAAGGGAGACTGCAGTGATGCTCTCCTTGTAACCTCAAAAATCTGGTTAAACATAATAGTTACGACCATTCTCAGAACCTTCCTGACATAATAATAATAATCCTTTTGTTTGATATAGTGCCTTTCACATCAAGAGGGCATGTCAAATCACTTCACAGGATATACTGTGTGTTGTTTGGGCGAACACGACAACCAGTTTGCGCTCAGCAATGTCCCACAAACAGCCTTGTTTATTGATCAAACTATATGTTTATTGACCAGAGAAGAAGTAGATTTACCTCTTAGCCCATAGCAAAAGACTGACTGACATGGGAGCATGATGCAGTGCGACCTAGGAGGAGCAGTTACGATTTTATAGCATCTGTAACGATGAAGTTTGCATTCCACAATAATTACTAAGCTAAGTTATTGTTCCTGAAAATTGTTTGTTTGCTTTTGTGCCAGAACATCTGTTAATGGACTCAGTGAATGGGATTTAAATGAATGAAATGTAAATCCAGGATTGAGTTTGAGAGAATGGGGGCGGAGAGAGAAGCTGAAGGCCTGACCACCGATGGTAGAGCAGAGTAAGACTATTACAGTGCAGTGCATCTCACTCCACAATCTGATCCTTAATGCCTAAACTCACTATCACGTCAGCCATTTATCAATGGAGCCATGGAGGGGTGGGGGGGGGGGAGAAGGAGGATGGCTGAAGGAAACAGTTTGAACATTAAAGTTATGTTTTTTTTGGAATGACGACAGTAAAAATAATAGTTATTTGTGCTGGCTTGTCTTGCTCTTAAATTGGTTTTGAGGAATATTATGGCTATAGTGTGCCTTAATAGCTTCCTTTCATAGGAACATCCTGGAGTCAATCGACTTCAGACAATAGCTTGTTCCCATTCACTCAGTCTCCATTATTTCCTACTTTTTCTTATGTTAACACATCCTGCGAATATCCCTTCAACACCTCTACACATTCCTGACTTGACTCATTTAGCTGTAGTTCACACATCGTTTTTTACGCTCTTCATGCATTCGTCAGTAAACCTCAGCAGTAGAGAATCAATAGCTGTGTTGTGTATTGCTGTGTGAGCGGTTCCGATGAAGTTGCATATTGTCTGGAGTCTTGTAACAGCCCCCGAAAGGGGGTGAAGATTGAGAGGAGACCTGTTTCGGAAGCTTTTTTTCAAATTAGGGAAGGTTTTTCGCGACACATTTTTACAGCGACAGTCAACCAACAGACATTAAAAAGCATCCTGTGATTAAAAAAAACAATATGTTAATTTGGTCTCTTAATCCATGACTGTTTGTTGGACACTGCTGTACGCAATTGACTGTCGCACATAACATACAGTTGAAACGCATTGAGACATCTCAATGCCCTCACGAAGAGTAGCGTCCCAGAGCGCTTGACAGTGGCGGAGCATGACTCCAAGCTGGGGTGGGTAACTGTAGGCTTGGTCGAAGATGGGGAATGAAGGGGCAAGGCGGAGGGATAGAGGAAGAGTGTTCCAGAGTTTGGGGGCGTAGAAACACAAAACAGGGAGAAATTATTTCCACTGGCCGGCAAGTGGCACGTACGCAAAAATCATCCAAATAGTACTTCCCCACCGCAGCGACCGAAACGGTGCAAGCCAAACCGGGTAACGAGTGGGACCGAGGAACTTCCCAAAAGTCGTCAATTTTTCAGACGGTGCTTTTAAGGCTGAGCTGAATAAGAACTTTGAGCCTGTTGTGGGCAGGTGTTTTGAATATGGACGCTGCTATCCTACTCCGAGTCTGTCCGGACTTGTTATAATAATAGCAATAATAATCCTTGCATTTGATACAGCGCCTTATCACGTCTTCGAGGTGTCTCAACGCCTCGCGTGATTATACTGTAAAGTGAAACGACTGTGCATTTTGCCGTGTGAAAGACACGCGAAGTTCACTTGTGAACTTGTCCGCCTACGAGTGCACAGTAGCTACACTTTAAAGCAATTTGAAACGCTTCGAGGCATTTCCATATTTAACAGTCCTACCTCTTTGAACACACCGATGGTTACCCCACCCCCTCTTCTCCCCTCTGGAGCGAGGTGGCAGCAGCCAAGAAGCCTGGAGGCCAGAATTTGAGGGCCAACTATAGCTTTGCAACGATCTTCAACGTGTAGAATCATAAAGTGATAATGAGCGTCTGACCATCAAGGGTAAAGACACGCGGGTTTACGTGTTCTGAGCCATTTTAAATGTGACTTTCAAGGTGTTTATTTCGTTGTGTTTCATTATAGTTAAAATATGCAACTGATGAGCTTGGGCAGGGAGCCAGTTCTTGTGTAAACATTTTACCATCTGTAAACCTGACCTCCGAGGTGGAGATTTGGAGCATAAAATGGTGCGTTATTGAATTCCTGACATGTAGTGACAAGGCAAAGAATCACAGTAACTTACCCTGAGGTATTTGCCTCTGAAGTTATAAATGTGGGTATTGTGCAAAAATGTTACTTTCTTTCTTGCCAATTTTCTTTCAACTCCTCCTGTGCTGAAGGCATTCAATCCTCACTGGTTCCCCAAGTGCTGGGAACCCTCTGGTGTTACACTCAAGTGGGCATTATTCATAACCCTGCAAGCCAAAGCCCTCACGGATAGGGATAGGGTGGTGGTCGTTGCTGGGAAAGCAGCGAGAAAGCTTGCCAGGCAGTTCTCTCAATGGCAAGCTTTGCATCTTTAGCTGGTTGGACATCTCAAAGCGTTAACCCCCCCCCATCACACACTCTGGGGTCCCCAAGCCTTGGCTCTTGCCAACCTGCACCTAATACTCTCCGTAATTAGGTAAGCAGGAAGGGTCCCTCTGGGAGGGATTCCATTCCAATATTCCATCTCTGGGATTTCCACGTCTAGGTGGGATGAGTGGAACTCTCAACTTGGTTTGGATAGTCTTAAGCATGGTGATGGGTTTCCCCTTGTGTCAGACATCGGCAGACCCCGGCCAAAAAAAGGGGGAAAGAAAAGGGCCAAGCACCAGGTGACATCTTGCTGTGTGCAAATTGTTTGCCCGCAAATACGCACAAACAAACTGTTGAGTTTAAATCGCGGGCCTTGAATCCACAACCTTCTCAATCAGAGGCAATCTTGCTACCCACTAAGCCGGGCTGTCACCTGGGCTCAAAATGAAACCAAAGTTAGAGGTTGTAAGTGGGAAACTTGGGCACTTGATCAGAGTGAAGTGATTCACGTGTGTTTTCCATTTGCTTTTCCACCGGCAGATTATCAAAGACGGACAGACACCAGTGAGGAATGAGCCATGGCAACGAAAGGTTTAGGACTCGTAGCGCTGCTGGCGATTGTGAGCGTGTCTTACGTGAACGCAGAGAAACCGCACACCTCCCCCTTCCGGTTCACCCACGACGTGTACGACACCACGATCTACGAGAACTCCAGTCCCAAGACGTACGTGGAGAGCGGGGTGAAAATGGGCATCTGGACTATGGAGCCCACCGGGAACGAGAATATCAAATACCAAATTGTGTCGCAAGACAGTGCCAGCATATTCAAAGCCGAGGAGCACTCAGTGGGTGATTTCTGCTTCTTGCGCGTAAGGATCAGGAATTCCAACATGCCGTCCCTGAACCGAGAGGTCAAGGACCAGTATCTGCTGACGGTCCAGGCCTCCGACGGGACAAACCGCCACGAAGCGTGGACCAAAGTGGTGGTGCACGTCCTCGATATGAACGACTTGCGCCCGCTCTTTTCTCCGGTCTCCTACACCGCCTCCGTCGGGGAGGATACGCCGCTCAGGTCCAGCGTGGCCAAGGTCACCGCGACCGACGCGGACATTGGCAGCAACGGGGAGTTTTACTACGCCTTCAAACACAGGACCGACACCTTTGCCATCCATCCGACCAGCGGCGTGGTCACTCTGGCTGGGAGCTTGAATCTCACCACCGCCAGGCAGCACAAGCTGGAGATTTTGGCAGTGGATCGTATGATGAAGCTTCACGGAGGACGTGGGGTGGGCAGCACGTCCAAACTGACCGTCAACGTGGAGCAGGGACGCCAGGAGTTGCCGGAGATCTTAACGGTGCATTCGGTCCCACCCGGGGAAAGTCCAAGTTCCACGCTCGCTCTCATCATGACCAAGGAAGGAGTGGATCAGGTGGACATTGTCGATGGAGATCCGGCTGATTATTTCAAAGTGGTACAAACGTACCCAGGTAGTAAGGAGTTCAAGCTAATATCATTGAAAGATACAAATTGGGCCAGTAACAATCTTGGCTACAACTTGTCCCTACAAGCTAGGGTTAAAAGCAACCCAACTGCAAACTCACCAGTAAAAGTCATTCATGTACCAGCCAACCAGCCCAAAACCTTAACATTTGCACAAGATCTTTACGAGGTCAGATTGAGTGAGATCGCACCACCTAACAGTCCTGTTGTCCTAGTCGTGGCTCGACCGAAACATCCGAACGTGAGATATCATCTGGAGTCCGGTCACGACGGTGGGAGATTTAGAATAAATCCTCAAACTGGTCTGATTACCACCGCTGGTGAGTTGAATCTCCTGGAGCAGTCTCGCTTTGAGTTGAAAGTGAAGACCGATGCTCAATTCGGGCGGATCTCGGCTAGAGTCGTTATCGACCTTGTGGACGCCAACAATCACGCTCCAGAGTTCCCAGTGTCCTTGTACCAGGGAAACGTCGACGAGAATGTTCCGATTGGAACGAGCATCTTAACGGTCAAAGCGATTGACAAAGATCAAGGTGACAATGGACATGTGTCCTACAGCATTGCCAATGCAGGCTCGATTCCCTTCAACATTGAGCCTTTCACAGGAACCATCATCACGTCCAAGGAACTAGACTATGAGCTCATGCAGCGAGTGTACCATCTGCAGGTTTGGGCTTCTGACTGGGGCTCACCATTTGCCTACGATTCAGAAGTGCCCGTCACAATCTACTTGGAGAATCTCAATGACAACAACCCCATGTTTGAGAACAACAAGTGCCGTGGGAATATCTCGAGAAGTCTCGGCGTTGGAGACTCGATCACCACCGTGTCAGCCATTGATGCAGATGAGCTCAAGGAGGTCAAATACGAACTGCTGTCTGGCAACGAGATGGATTTTTTTCGACTGGATCCAACCTCTGGGGTACTGGAACTAAAGCAACCCTTTCCTTACAGTCCTGTTGACGGGACAACATCCTTCAACCTTAAACTCACAGCCAGAGATGGGGAGAACTACGCCTCACCAATCTACATCAACCTCACGGTTATTGACAGCCCCAAAATGGTCAGCATGTATTGTGAAGACACCGGTGCCATCAAATCCTTAGCAGAGAGTTTGTTGCTATCTGTGAAGCCACACAGTCAACCCCAGGAAGAGGATTTGTTCTCTTACGCCCACATCATCAACGCTCACACTCCGCAGTTTGATGCCGACTTTCCGACCTCCATCAGCGTGAGAGAGAACGTGCCAGTGAACTCCACCGTCCTGTACATAAACGTCACTGACCCGGACTCCGGCTTCAACGGCAAGTTGATCTACGTCATCTCGAGCGGCAACGAGGACAGCTGTTTCGTGGCAGAGATGGAGACGGGACGGCTGAAAGTGGCGCTGCCCTTGGATTACGAAACCACGCGACTTTACACTTTGAACGTGACGGTGTACGACTTGGGGAAGCCTCAGAAGTCTTCTTGGCGGCCGCTGGAAGTGCACGTTTTGGACTCGAACGATAACAAGCCGGTCTTTGCCCAAGATGGCTATTGGGCAACGGTGCGCGAGGACGCAGTGCTGGGCACCAGCGTAGCCCAGCCGAAGGCGGAAGACCAGGACGAGGGAGGGAACGGACGAGTGAAATACTCACTCCTCACCGACACCGACACCTTCGCAATCGACGAGATCTCGGGCACTGTGCTCGTCACCGGCAAATTAGATCGGGAGCTTTGCCCGGTCCATTTCCTGAAAGTCGAAGCCAAAGATCAGTCGGCGCAGGACGCCCAGCTGTCCTCAGTTGTCGATCTGATAGTAGCCTTGGAGGACGTCAACGATAATCCTCCTCGGTTCGTCCCGTCCACTACACGGCCAAAGTGCCCGAAGATGTACCGGTCGGAACTGTCATCGTCTGGCTTGAGGCTTACGACCCAGATTTGGGTCTCGGAGGCCAAGTGAACTACAGCCTAATGGATAACAGCGACAGCACGTTCAGGGTTGATAAAGTGACGGGCGCCGTGCGTGTCAACAAGCAGCTCGACTTTGAGCGTCGCGATCTCTACAATCTGACGGCTCGTGCCGTCGATGGCGGAAAGCCCCAGTCTCTGAGCTCCAAGTGTTACGTGGCGATCGAAGTGCTGGATGTGAATGAGAATCTGCATCCCCCCCGCTTCCCTTCCTTTGTGATCCAGGGATCGGTCAGTGAAGACGCTCCCGTGGGGACATCAGTCGTCACACTGACTGCTCAGGATGGCGACCCGGGGAAGGACGGGGAGATTCGCTATCTGATTAAGGGAGGATCTGGTCTCGGAGTCTTCTCCATCAACGAAAAAACAGGTAAGAAGGCGAGAGGATCAATCCTGATAAGAAACGAATGGCAGAAAAGCCTTGATTGATGCAAAGATGTGTTCAGAGATGGAAACACGTCTCAAAGCACCTCACAGGGTATATTGTAATTGGATTGGATTTTGTGAGCGTTATATTAGGCATTTGGTTATCTGTTACGTTAAAAAATAATAATAATTTGGTCACTCAATCCACGACTGTTTGTGGGACACTGCTGTGCGCAATTGGCTGATTTCACCCACAAAATATAAACTCAATTCACTTTACAGTACATTCTGCGAAGAGCTTTGAGACGTTTCGAAGACGTGATAAGGCACTATATCAAATGTAAGGATTATTATTATTATACTTTGGATGTGGTTGTCTGCAGGGGCATGTAAGGTTTATATCGGTGCAAGGATTATTATCATTATAAACAAAGTTCAACATTAATTAATTAATAAATCTAATGTGATTCCTTTGACTTCAGGAGTAATGCAGACTACAATGATTCTTGACCGAGAAACAGTTCCTCACTACTGGCTGACAGTCCACGCTACAGATTCAGGGCTCTTCCCTACAGTCGCCTCAACAGAGGTTTTCATCAGTATCACAGATGTTAACGATAATCCTCCTCAGACCACAGAGCCAGTTTATTACACGTCCATCACAGAAAACTCCCCAAAGGGTCAGTCTGTTCTTCGCATTGAAGCTCACGACCCTGATTCCAGCTCAGAAGGTCATCTGTCCTTCAGCATCTCCAGTGAAAGCCCAAGAGGATTCTTTGCTATCGATCCCAAGACAGGTATGTTCACATTGCTGTTTGTACTGATGGACTGTGACCGGGGAAAGTCTTGCAATGTATTCTGTGAAGCGCTTTGAGAGGTCTCAACGACGTGATCAGGCGCTATATGAAAGGCAGGGACTATAAATTTTCTTTTGTTGGATAGCTCTAAAATTCTACTCTTATTCCAATTTCACCCAAATGTAATTGAGAGAAGTCTGCGGAACGTGCTAGTTAAGAGGAAATACAGGAAAAACGGCTTAAATATATAGCATTTGATGGTAGTTTATTCAACAGTGCAGACTATATTTATAGCGGTAACAACGTTAATTGAAACAAAATTGCAGCTTTGAATTTCTTATAAACACAGTGTCTGTCACCAAGGGTGTAATCTACATTGCGACCGAGCTATTATTAACACACATTACAGTAAAACTCACATAAGTCACAACAGTCGGGACCATAACATATAATGTGACTTGCGCAAAGTCAGAGTTGCCGGTAAACCTACAGGAATTGTGTTAAAATCCGAATGAATCAATCATCTACACTGCGCTTGTGCAATTCAATGCAGCTGGTAAGGGTCGAACGGTGAAGCTTCCTGCGATTCAATGTGTCTTGCCCCGTCGCCGCATGCGTACTTACCATCAAGCATTGGAATCGCATTGAATGTTTTTCTCCCTCCCGGTGTCCCAGTCAGCAATTCCCCCAAATAAAACCGATCACTCACTTCATTGTTATTTGTGGGGCATTGCTGTGCGAAAATCCGTGGCCACTTTTTGCCTGCAAATATACATGGTTACTACACTTTGCAGTATATCCTTTGAAGCTCTTTGGGACTTCTCGGTGACTTGATGAGGCACTATATCAAATGCAAGAAATATTAATAACAGGGCTCTACTGCATGTGTGTGTCTGTAGCTTGTTGATAGCTGAGGTGCAACGTAAGCGTACCTTTTGACTGTACATCTGGTTTTTGCTGATTAATTTTGTCCGAGACCGAAAAAGAAAAGTCGGGACCCTTAAAGATCAGCGACAAAGGTGCCTGGCTCTTTGGTGTTCTCAGTTTATTTAGCTGCGAGCTTTCATTACGGAATCGCTGACTTTATTCCTTGAAAAGAAGTGGATGAGTCTCTTGCATTTTCAGGCCGTGACAGATGGCGCTTGTGTAAAAAGAAAGGATAAACTCCGAAACCACTTAAAAGCAGGTCCGCACAAGCCTACCTTTGACATAACGACATGCTTTACTTGTTCTGGACAGAGAGCGGGTTTGTGCAATGTAGAAATTGAATCGAAACAGGACGTTTTATTACTCAACAGCCGATTGCTACCCGAACACATCAATCTTTCAACTAATGTGTCAAGCGAAGCTGTTTTATCACAGCGCTCATTTATCGCTATGGCCTTTGTATTGTGGCTCAAAGGCTCGGAACATCAGGACACCCAGAAAACAGTTGACGGCTAAGATTTGCAGGGATAATTTTTATGCCGTGGGGAATAATTTAGTTCTTTACTTTGGCGGAGCTAACTAACTTATTGTCTGAAGTGCATTGACTTTTTAACCACACTTCAGTGCTATAACCAGAGTAAATTGCTGGGAAAGAGGACAATTTACTAGAAGGTACATCAGTCCAGGAAGGTATTTATAATGGGATAACAGTACATGCTGGAATTCGTCATGCAGATATCTTGAGATCCTGAATTTCTCATGGTTTCTATAATCAAATGGAACGATTATATTATATTATTCTGGTTTCAGCCTTAAGACTGTCGTCTCAAAACCTTTCCTGCGTGGGTTTTTTCTCTCTCTCTCTCGCTCTCTCTGCATTTCTTTTTATGGCTTCCAAAATCAAGTCTGAAGCTTTTTTCCCAGAATTCTGCTCCATTTCAATGAACATTTTTTGAGACGACAAACGATCTGAAGCCTAGGACCACGTGAAATTTTGTTGCTCAACAGCAACAACATCAAATTGCATTCTGTGCGGCGCCTTTCACATCGGGAGTAAGTCCCAAGGTGCTGGATGGATAAGGGTTTGCACCCGAGCTGAGGGTTAGGATCAGGAGGGGTGGAGGGTAGGGGTGGGAGGGTGACCAAAGGCACGGTCGAAGAGGAAGGTTGTGTGAGGACGGACGGGGCTCGGGTGCAATGCACTCACTGTGAAATAGCCCGGCTAATTTAATTGCAGGAAGAGCATTCCCTGGGGAGAGCTAATCAGAATGCAACTGGCACCCGGTAGATGATCCCCATCTTTAGACGAGAGAGGAGAAAGCTTGCAGAGGAAGAAAGATCACAATAACTTATTCGTAGAAGGATGCACAGATAATCTGAATCCTGTCTCACATTCTGAACAGATTCCATCTCCAATGGGGCCTCACTTTTCCCAGGCCGGCTGCACACACACCTTCACTTTTTTATTGTGTGTTTGTGTGTCTTCTGTGTTCAGAACATACCTGGAGGCAATTAATCCTGGCAGAACAGAACCCACAGAGTAAAATAAACCAACCTCTCGATTTCCAACTCCCTCCCTGTTCAGACTTGACCGGGAATGGAATCAGGAAGTAACGGTGCTCTACTGCTGTAAATGGAGCTTGTTTAGCTGTGACCCGCATCGTGTTCAGAGTTCACAAGGAAGCTTAGATTTCCCTGAATGAAAGGTGTTTGCTCAGCTGGCGAGGAATAGCAATTGAATCTTACCATCGAATGAAATAATCTCTCTTCTGCTGAACTAAACCCAGGGTGGGGTACTTCAGCTGCCACCCTCCCAAGTGACTGCACCATAACCCTAGAAAATGCGTTCAATGCGTACAATGTTATTCATGATCCTAACAATAATCCTTGCACCTTATAGCGCCTTATCACGTCATCGCGACTTCTCAAAGCTCTTCACAGAATATACTGGAAAGTGAACTGACTGCATGTTTAGTGGGCGAAACTCAGCAGCCAATTGCGCACAACAGTGTCCCACAAACAGTCTTGGATTGAGTGACCCACTTTTTTGGGGGGGATTGGATTATCACCCCTGGTTGGCAGAAAAGCGATCCTCCGATCAACCAACAACTGGGATCCTGGCAAACATAGGCATGTGGAGTAAGGAAATTTGCCTAACATTTCGCTCTGCCTGGGAATCGAACCTCTCACTCGTGCGGCGATCCCTCTAACCAATACGCTACAGGACTCCCATCTCAGATCAGCCATAGATCGGTCGTTGAAAATGGGTCGATGTGACTCAGTGCCACACCTTGAAGCCAACCGATCATTTGGACGAGCCTTTTCAGTGTTATTCAAGGTCGGCAACATAATTAAAAGATCTCCAACTCAGTTTCGACATTTTCCAGCTTGACTCACATTTTAACCCATTTAAGAATCGCTTCTCAGAAATCTTGCATTTTACTTGATGCGACTTCATTCGAAAGCTTCGCGATATGTGGTAAAAAAAAAGCGAGGATTTGTCGTGGCTTGTAAAGCAACTATTTAGGAAATGTGTATAACGTACACTTAGGTCTGTGGTGAGAGTTTTTTTTTCTTAAATTGGTTGAAAAATGTTTTGAGGAATTCCTTTGGATATGAACCGTTCCTGATCTGCACAGCATCGAACCACAACACATGGTGCACTTATGTTCTCTGCCACCAGCGGGAGCTCTGGATCAGATGAGTGCAAAGTTGAGCGAACATAGATTGGAGAGCTACCAAAATATCAAAGTAATCGTCACTGAATTGTATATAGTTTGGGACATGATATGTCAAGCGACTGCCAGGATGGTGGCAGGCAAACTGCACCGAGCAAATTTGTCTAGCAAATTCTTACGCTCGACTCATGAGGCTGGAGAGGTTCTGACCTTAGCTTGGTAGAAATGTCTGTGCTCTTGCCTTTCGAACACACCTCGCGGGAGAGTTCACTTACTTTGTTTGCTGATTGCAGGGCTGATCACCACCACCTCACACAGAGTGGACCGGGAGAAGAGAGACGAACACATCCTTGAGGTGGGTAAACCGAGACCGGCACATCAGCGCTCTAGTGTGTGTGAGCCAGATCTGGGCGGGCCTTCAGCCATTCTGCCCCCACCCTCTAGAACTCCATCACATAGACCCTTCACCTCACCCTCTCCCCCTCCCTTGCCTCCTTCAAAACCTGTCTCAAGACTTATGCACATGTAATCTGTTGTTGGGTGGGTAGTCGGAAAGGATGAGATCCAGTTGGCCAAAGGGCTGTCTTCATCCATACCTCTCTTGTGATCTCTTGATATTGTTATGTTTTGTTGGAAATTTGCCTGTGGACCTCACCCCAACAACAACAACTTGTATTTATATAGCGCCCTTCACTTGGAGCAAAGTCTCGGAGCGCTTAACAGTGGCGGAGCTTGACGTCGAGCCATGGGAGGGGGTGGGAGGAGGTGACTGTAATCACGGTCAAGGTGGAAGGTCTTCAGTCGTGATCTAAATGAGGGGAAGGAAGGGGCAACGTGGAGGGATTGGGACAGAGAGCTCCAAAGCGTCGGGGAGTAGCAGCTGAAAGCGAGGTCGGGGATGGTAGAGCGGAGGGGACAAGGGACAAGCAGGAGGACAGAGCCAGCCAGACGGAGGCAGCGGGTAGTGAAGTGGGGGGGAAAGCCTCCTCTGACTATGGCAGAACTGGTGACAATAGAGGTTCACTTTGTGACCATCAACATCCTATACCATATCACTAACTCTTTGCTGCCTTTGGTTTCATGTAGGTGACCGTTAAGGACAATGGTGATCCTCCAAGACAGTCCAGAACAAAGGTAATGGTGGGGGTTGTCGATGAGAATGACAATGCCCCGAGGTTCCCGGAGGTCCTGTACAATGTCCGCCTGCCTGAACGCAACAGCGCCGCACAGCCTGAGGCCATCTACAGAGTGATCGCATCCGACCGAGATGTCGGTCCCAATGGAGACATCACCTACAGCATTGAGGATCCTCCAGAGGAAGGAAAATTCTACATCAATCCAAAGTCCGCCATGGTGTCATCCACCAGGGCGTTCACAGCTGGCGACTACGACATCCTAACAGTGAGTAGTAGGAGGATGTGTCTTTTTTTCTGATTAATAATATTAATAATCCTTGCATTTGGTACGGCTCCGTATAAGATTTTGTCCTGCCCGGGAATCGTACCCGAGTCTTTTTCCTTGCGAGGCAAGTGTGTTAAACACCACGCTACGAGACTCCACAAGTGCAAGGCAGAATAGAATTGCATAGAATCTCCAGCCCCGAAACAGGCTATTCGGACATGTTTATACTCCTTGACCATTGGGGTAAAATTCCACCTCGATACAGTGCCGTCAAGACGTCTCAAAGCGCTTCCTAGGATATATTGTAAAATGGTTGTGACTGTGTATTTTGTCCAGACTTACAATACCCTGTTGTCGGGCTTTATTATTAATAATAATCCTTGCATTTGATATAGCGCCTTATTACGTTGTAGAGATGTCTCAAAGCGCTTCACAGGACATACTGTTAAGTAGATTGACTGTATTATTCTGCACTCACTCTAAAAACATGAGCTTCTTGTTATTTGGAGTCCTGTAGTCCTGCAGCTCAATGGTTAGCGCACTTGCCTCGCAAGCAAGAGACCTGGGTTTGATGTGTTTTGTTTGTGCAAAATGACAGTAACAACAGCTGAGCTCTGAACATTCAACTAAACACTTTGGGAACGAGATGGCCTCTTCCTGAGTAAACGTTTGGCAAACCTGTGGGTTTTTTTTCCTTGCGGAAGGGAGGGAAGGGAGGAAGGAAGGGAAAGAGGCAGGCCAGGCCATCAGTCATGGAGTCTGAGCACATGAGTTGTTCCATGATCTCTTTGACCCTCCTCTCTTTACATCTTCAGATCGTATCTCAGAAACCACGAGGGAGGATGGGGGACTTAGTTTGCCAATCGCTGCCGCCCCTTTAATGATATAAAAATGATAGAGCATGCAGAATAAACTTGATTTACAAAGGAACAAATAAGGAGTGGCTGAACTGTTTAAACATGTTCATAATGCCTCCAGCGTATTAGTCACCTCCAGTGCCGGCCTTATTGATGAGACATTGAGACAAAATCCTGTTCTGGTGAATAAATTTTCAAATAAATAATAAATTGGTCGCCTAATCCACGACTGTTTGTGGGGCACCGCTGTCCGCAATTGGATCGCCCCAAAGCGCCCACAAAATACGCAGTCACTCCACTTTACAGTATCTCCTGTGAAGCGCTTTGAGACGTCTCGACGACGTGATAAGGCGCTGGATCAAATGAAAGGATTATTATTACTATTATTATTAAAATAAATCAGTAAATCCTGTGATACACTTTGGGAAGGGAGAGGCGCTACGCAAAATGTGAGGATTATAATTGTTGTATCGTATCGAGCTGGAGTAACGTATCGAAGCCACACCTATATCCCCACCACTTCATGTAAATTCTCCCCGCAGATCCGTGCCTCCGACAATGGGAATCCCCAGAAATCGACGACGGTCCGTCTGCACATCGAGTGGATTGAGACACCAGCACCATCCACTGAGCCTCTCCTCTTCGATGAACCTCACTTTACCTTCGCAGTGATGGAGACAGATCCCGTGAACCACATGGTTGGTGTGACCAGCACGGAACTCACCAAAAGCCAGCTCTGGTTCGATATTATCGGTAAGAAGATTTTTTTTTTTAAAAAAAGCTTTTTGCCCAGCCGGGTGTCTTGACGCTTGCGGAAACCCATCACCGTGCTTTTAGGGTATCCCGAATCAAGCTGAGAATTCCATGCATCCCACCTGCACGTGGAAATTTCCGAGATGGATTCAAATTTAGATTTAAAACTTAAAAGTTTACCGTCGTGGGAAATTATGGAGCAAAAAAAAACATTGAAATTCAGTGGTAAATTTGGAAACGACGGTTTTCCCACAACAGTAAAGAAAATTTGACGAAACTTGGGCCCCAAATTGAGACTAAATTGAAGACTGGTTTCCAAAATTCCCCAACTCTCAAATTGTAAGATAAAATGGTCTCAAGCCTAAGCATTTGAGGACCTCCGGTATTCTCTTGAATCTGGTATATTAACAGCATTTGAAGGGATTTTCTTAAGCCAAAAGGACATGATAGAAATTCGTACCGAGAGTATGACAGAGGAAAGGTTGGTAAAGATGAGCGCTGACTCACAATTACTTGTTAGGGCCCTTTCTTCCTGTGTAAAGCCAGATGACACATCCTCGAAGATACCACGGATGCGATTGATCCTTTCCCACAGAGCAAGAACCAGACCTGTGATTTTCTGGCCTGGATGGCGTAATGTTCTACCAGGTGGTTCCTTTAACCACTGAGCCATCAGGTGTCTCCCTGATCTCTGAGCCGTCTATATCCGAAGCTTTGATTGATCTAACCTCTTGGTTGATCTTGGCCTCCTCTCCTTTGCTCTCTGCTGTACTGCGGGCCTTGGCTTCTCACCGAGGTCTCCCACTGACCACAATGTCTGCACACAGTGGACGGGGAAGAAAAATTGAGAGCGCATAACATCCCTTTTGATTCAGATTAATGCCGTGGTTGAAGCAAAAAGACTAATTAGGATGAATGGCCTGCATTAACCTATTGTAAACTCTCCGAGAGAGTTGAACAGCAAAATATACACTTTACTGTATATTACGTGAAGCGCTTTGAGAAGTCTCGCAGACGCCATAAGCTGTTATATCAAATGCAACGATTATTATTATTGACAATACAGAAATCTCTGAAAGAGAACAATGAGGTTTTTTTGGTAGCGAAGCTCTAGTCAACAGCCTTGAATGAAATTGCCACAGTCTATAACATCAGTTAACTCTGATTGTAAATAACTATAGGGATCTCTCACTTTGCCACCTTATCTAGCAAGATCTCAAGCCCTGAGAATTGCCACATGTAGGAATAGGACCTACTGCCTCTGATTATTTCCCAGGAGCTGAAGATAAGGCTGGTTCCTTCCGCTTGACTGCACACTGAACGCTTCTCAAGCTATTGTGCTTTAGCATCCGTTTACATTTGTATAGTTGTGCCACTGAATGGGTTGTTTCCATGTGCAGTTCATTCATGGAGCGAACATTCAGTGAATTTACAGTCTAGCTCGTCAGCCCTAAAGACAGATGTGCTCTCATGCCTCTGACTGACTGATCGTGAATGCTGAACTGGTTCTGTGGCATGGACAGGCTAGAAAATCCTTGCATTCGATATAGCCCCTTATCACATCGTTGAGACGTCTCAAAGCATTTCACAGATTACACTGTGAAGTGAATTGACCGTATAATTCGCGGCAGCAAATTTCGCACAGCCCCTCTGGACCCAAATTCCACCTAGTCTTGGCCTGTAAGACCATTTTGCTTCAGACCTCAAAAGGTCAATTTGCAGAACTGTGCAAACTTCTCGAATTCAGTCTCCATTTGGAATCTGGTTCTGCTTAAGAGGTTTCTGATCTGAGGTCGGATTGCTAAGAATCTGCCAAATCTCTTGCGACCTTAGATTCGCAAACTAGAAGCAGAAATTAACACAAACCCAGTTCGCTAATCTCGCTTTTACGACCCCTGAAATATGTGTGAGGTATTTTCAGTCGATGAAGGAGCTTTAACTCTGTGTTGTGTGCCTCGCTCCCACAATGTCATTCCAATAATGGTGTTACCATCTGGGACTTGCCGGGGGCTCATTACTCACCGGATAATCCGTCTGTTAATCAAACTGTGCATTCCTTCAGATGGCGTAACGTATAATGTCTCCTATTGTTTGGATTTTTTTAATATCGAAAGGCAAACACAGACCTTCTTTCTGTGATCTGCATTTACCTGTTTGTCTGTTGAAATATTTTTTTCTGCTGTATTTTGCTACATAGGGAATCGAAACACGAATCTTTAAGAAGATTCAAGGATTATTCTGAAATAAAATATTTTCACCCACAAAATATACAGTCAATTCACTTTGCAATGTATTCTGCGAAGCGCTTTCAGCCATCCCTTGGGCGTGATAACGCGCTATATCAAATGTAAGGATTATTATTATTAAAGTAGTATTAATTATCCTGGCCTTTTCCCATTATTTCCACCAATGACCTTGTCATTCGCCTCGCACAGAAAGATTGGACAAATTTAGGATTAATCTGCTGTAGCACAACTTGCGCAGTGCTTATTTGCTCAGAATCATTTATCGTTCCATACTCTTAATAACAAATAATCCTTGCTTTTGACATAGGAACTTATTATTTTGTCGAGATGTCTCAAAAGATTTTACTGTGAAGTGTAGTGACTGTGTATCTGTAGGCGAAGGCGGCAGCCAATTTTCCCACAGTAACGTCCCACAAACAGCCATGAAGAGAATGACCAGTTTTATTTGGGGGAATATTAGTCATAAAATCGGGAAAAACTTCATTCTCTTTATGAAAAGTGCTGTGGGATCTTTAACATCCATCTGAACAGGCAGACAGGGCCTCGGTTTAATGTCTCATCTAAAAGACGCACCTCTGACAATGTATTGGAGTGTAATCTTGTACTATGTGAGTTCAAATACTGAGTTAATGCTGTAAATATGTAGAGAGAAATATTGTTACACATGGTAATATACAATACCAGAAATAATCATTGTTTATCTGACAGGTCCCATAGTGTGAGGTAAAAGACAAATAGAGAGTTTGGTGAAGAGTTTCCTTCTGTGACTCTGTACCAAGTGCCATTGGACTGTATCACTCAATTGCAAGGATTATTATTATCGTTCACTCTCGCTTCTTACTCTCAATCAGGTGGAAACAACAATGAGGAGTTTGAAATAGAGAAAAACACAGGCTCCATCACCATCGCCAAACCACTGAACGCAAGCCTGATGTCCAACTATAACCTGACGGTCAAAGTCACAGATGGAACAAATGCGGTCACAACTCAGGTAACAGTGCAAATACCAGGAATCAATAGCTTTCTGTCTCATCAAATCAAGGTCCTATAGACAAGTCCATTTGTGCACTATCTCAAAAGTCTTTCCAACTCTTTAACTCCCTTCCCTTCCCTCCCCACTTCCTCCTCCGAAACACTCCTCTCCTCTCCTGATGGCGCTAACACTTTAGTGCAGTCATGTTCCCTGGGTACTGAAGAAATTCATCTGCTCTCCATAGACATGTGTAGTGGAAGCATTAAGGGGGATGGTGAAGGGGCAAGGGCATCAGGATGAAAGGATCTGCCCAAATGGTCTGAATAGCTTCCTCCTAATCTATGTTCCTATGTCCCTGCTTCAACAGAGAATTAAAATCTGGGTTGTGTGTCGGTCAGAGCTGGAATAAGTTCCTTCACCAACTGGACAATGGTTGAATTCTCTCATCAACCCTTACACCTTATCATGGCTCTTATTCTGCTATTCATTCCAGGCCTACATCAAAGTGATCGACATCAATGATCATCGGCCCCAGTTCTCAGCCAGAGAATATGAGGTCAGGATCCCTGAAGACATTGCGCCTCCCGCAGAGATCCTGAGAGTCAAGGCCCACGATAAAGATGGCAGGAACAAGCTGATCTACACCATCCAGAGCAGCGTTGATGATGCCAGCCTGAAGCTGTTTCACCTGGATCCCACCAGCGGAGCTCTCCTCACCACTGACTGGCTGGACTATGAATCGATTCGCCTGCACACACTCACTGCTATGGTAGGTGGTAATAATAATCCTTGCATTTGACACAGCGTCTCATCGCGTCTTAGAGACGTCTCAAAGCGCTTCACAGGATATGCTGTGAAATGAATTAAACGCACAGCTTGTGGGCGAAATGCATGTGTTTCACGCGCACGGTGTTTCATTCAATAAGACGTCTCTAATATAAAATGACGTGCAGTGTTATGTATTCTAATAATAATGATAATCCTTGCTCCAGCGCCTTGCCATGTCGTCGAGACATCTGTGTGTTTTGTGGGCGAACGCAGCAGTCAATTTGTGCCCAGCAAAGTAAACCTATTTTGCGGGTGACCAATTTTCATTTGAGGTACTGTCGGCCAGGAGAAAGAGAGAGACTCTCTTCTCTTTCCAAACAGTGCCATTGGGAACTTTAACATCCACCTGGACAGGCAAACGGGACCTCGGTTTAATGTCTCATCCAAATGACGGCATCTCCGATAAAGCAACGCACCCCTAGCACTGCACTGGCAAGTCAGCATAGACTTGTATTGGTTCTGTCATATTCCGACTGAAGCTGGAATGAATTTGCAGGGTTTGAACGGGGGCAGCCTCGCCATACCGCCACAACCCTTGCTGCCAACTGCAGCGATGCTGTCAGTTAGGGAGTTGATGAATGACTTGAATTTCTCTAAGGGCCGTAACTCTTTCCCCTGATAATCAATGTCACGTAACTGACAGCGAACTGGCTGCCAGGGTCCCTGGTCAGACAGCATTCTGTCTGCATCGCGGCCAGTCCTCAAGGTGACAGGTTTATATCAAGGAGCACAGTGGGTAGCACTGGCCTTGCCTGGCAGTTCTTCCAAACTGAGCTGGGGCTTTGAATGCTATCTGGGGAGAGACAGTGGGCGTACTGTTTCGTTCGATGGCAGCTGTTGATAGTCTTCAGGTATGTGAGTCAGAGGAGGTGGATTCGAAGCCCTTGGATGTGGCACAACTCCAGAGATCCAATTGATAACATTGGTGATTCTGTTAAAAGGTAACAAATAATGATTGCTATTAGCCATTGGCATTTGATTCTTTCTCTCCTGACCCCCCCACGCCCCCCCCCACCAACAACTTCCTCAACCCCACGTCAATTGCTATCAATAATACTATTTCAAAGAGGTCAGCGAGGGCAAACATTTAATGACTCAAAATATCCCACTACTTGGGACGTTTTGACGTCTTTGTTAAGAGAAATACGTGCTCGCACAGCAAACCGAGAGACAGGGTTGATATTGTTGATGGTGTACGTTGGTCTTTTGTTTGCCACTTCATCAGTTGATAGTGATCTTGTCACAAGAGATTGCCGTTCAAAAGTCTTGTAGCCTCTTGGCAAGATTATATAATTGTCAGGCATGCAATGTGAATGTGATTTGTAATTTAGTTCTCTCAGAATGATTGATGACAGTGGGATAGGAGATTTTAATGGAATGTTTAACCTAAAGAGTTATATTCTAAAGGGCCTGGTATTCCTGAGTTTGCTTTTTATTGGGAAAATCCAGATGGAATGATATTTCCCCCATTATTGTCCAATCGGCCTTTGTCAGCGAGATCTCAATGTCTTCAATGGTAGATGCAAACTGTTAGTACAGCCTCTGTTGATTAATCTTGTGTGAGATGGCACGGTTTAGCACAGTGCTGGTCAGACTATCTTCCGATGTCTATTGTCTCCTCAACATGCGACGCGCAACAGCTTAGACAACGTGATTCCAAGTCCCAACGTGGGGTTTGAACCCACAATCTTCTGACTCAGAGGCGAGAGCGCTACCACCGAGCCAGGCTGACACACCACAAAAGTACAGCTGGAGCACTGAACCACGCAAGCCTGGGAGCAGAAGGAGAAATGTATTAACTCCAGATCTTCCTTTGAGTTTTATTTAAAAGAAATCGAGTATATTTTTGGGGGGAAAAAAAAAGTTTTAAAAAAATTCAACGGGAAAACTTTTCGTAGGTTTCTAATTTTGACGGCTCTTGTCGGGCAGGTTCGGGATCAGGAAATTCCAGTTAAACGCAACTTTGTACGGATCAATATCATTGTGGAGGACTCCAATGACTACCCACCCAAGTTTATTCAGCACAGCTACAAAGCAAGTGTGGCCGAATCAACAGACATCGGATCTGAAGTCCTGCAAGTCATCGCGACGGACAGTGACACAGGAGTCAACGCAGAGATTGTGTACTCCATCCAGTCAGGTAATTAACGACAAGGAATACGTTACTGTTCCGTTATAACCCGAGGTGTTTGCCGTTCTGCTCCCCCCACCCACCCTCCCCCCTATTTTAAAATATAACCGGGGCTGTTGTGCAAGTAATCTGCCTTTCTGGTGTCTCCAGATGTAATCGCTGGCATGGTGTATCTTCACTTATTATCTCCGGCACTTGATGTTCACCTGTGATAAAGCTCTCCCTCACCTGTCAGCAGTTTACACAACAAGTGGTTACTGTACTTGAAGCAAGTATTATTTTAGTTTGCGAGAACAAAGAGCTGACTTTAATACTCCCTCAGACACCTGGGACAGTCCCTCTCTCCCAAAGCTTCCTGTGTTTAGGATTCGAGGCAGAATGATTCAGAAACCCCAGTCTCTGACAACTTGCCGTGTACGTTCACAAAGTCGGCAGTTCACAGCTCTCGTTATCAGTGCATCAGTTTGTCATCACAAACACACAGTCACTACACTTTAAATTGTAGAATCCTTTGAGACGTCTTGATGACATGATAAGGCGCTGCATCTAAATGACAAGATTATTATTATCATAACAACATAACACAATATAAACATAATATAACGTGCCTCTGTTTACCGAGCAGTAAGCAGAAACCCGGTTGTTAATTGAATGGTGGATCGCTTTCCGGGGGTAATAATCCCTTCAGTAAATAAATAATAATAATTTGGCCACTCAATCCACGACTGTTTGTGGGACTTCGCTGCCGTGTTTCACCTACAAAATATACAGTCAATCTGATTTACAATATATTCTGTGAGGCGCTCTGAGACGTCTCAAAGGAATGATACGACGCTGTATCAAATGTAATAATAATTATCATTATTATAACCCATCCTATGATTTGTTTTGCAGGTAACAGTGGAAATATGTTCGCCATTGACCCTGTTTCGGGCAAGATAACAGTGACTAAGGAGATGGACCAGGCAGTTAAAGGGACTTACAACCTGACAGTGAAAGCTGAGGACCGGGGTTTCCCTCAGCTCAGTACGGTGACCAGTGCCTACATCGTCGTCCTGGTTTCCGACAACTCTCCACCCAGGTTTCTAATGAGCGAATATTACGCGGAAATCAGCGAGGCCATCAGCACTGGGTCTTCTGTGGTCACGGTAACCGCCACCAGTCAGTCAGCTGTGACGTACGAAATCAAGGACGGAAACACGGATCAGGCCTTCCGCATCAACCCGTACTCCGGTCTGGTATCTGTTCACAAGGCTCTGGATTTCGAGACCATCGCGGCTTACAGACTGACGGTTCAAGGCGCGAACATGGCCGGCCTGTCTTCCAGCCTAACGGTTTTCATAGACGTGATCGACGAGAACGACAACGCGCCGGTCTTCGTTCAGTCACGGTACGTCGGGAGAATCAACGAGAATTCCCCCGTCAACAGCGTGGTGTTGAGCAACGGACACACTCCTCTGGTCATCGAAGCCCAGGACCGGGATAGAGACGCCAACGCGCTGCTGGTCTATCAGATTGTTGAGCCCGAGGCGCAGAAGTACTTCACCATTGACCCAAGCATGGGGACCCTCAGCACAGCCTCCCCCATCGATCGAGAGACCCACCCCGTGTTTCACCTCACCGTGCAGGTGCGCGACAGCGGTCGGCCAAGACGCTACGCGACGGAGGTGGCGAATGTCACCGTCATGGTGACGGACGTCAACGACTGTCCTCCCAGGTTCGAGAAAGACGTTTACGAGACCACGCTGCTCGTGCCGGCTCATGACGGCACCCGAGTGTTGACGGTCAAAGCGGAAGACGCCGACTCTCCCGGCTTCTCCAACGTCACGTACAGCATCCTGGAAGGGAACGGCAAGGATGCCTTCACCGTGGGCGCTGCCAGCGGACTCATATCCGTCAACGACGCTTCCAGGCTGGAAAGCCACCACGAACTGACAGTCAGAGCCACCGACGGGATGTACAAAAGCTCGGCGGTGGTGAAAATAAACACCGTCGAGTTGCCGGAGACCGGCCTGAGGTTTGCCCTGGGCTCACAGTCGCTCTCCGTCTCGGAAGACTCCAGGTCCATGGAGACTTTAGGCGTGGTGAAAGCCTCCGGGAATCAGCTGAACGAGCCCCTCTTTTACTCCGTGCTGAACCCGGATGCCAAGTTCAAGGTGGTCCGCACCTCGGGCGCTTTTCAGACGACGGGAGTGCCTTGCGATCGGGAGGAGGTGGCGGAGTTTGAATTTGTGGTGGAGGCGAGAGACGCGCGGAGCCCACCCAGAGTTGCCCGTACTCTGGTGAAGGTCTCGGTGGAGGACGTCAACGACAACCCGCCGGTGTTTGTCAACTTGCCCTACGTGACCACGGTGCCAGAAGACGCCGAGCCCGGTGACGTGCTCTTCCAAGTGAGCGCCGTGGACAAAGACGCCGGGGACAATGCGGTCATCCATTACAGCCTCGCCAACAGTTACAGGCACTTCTGGATGGATCCCTACCTCGGCGACATTTCGCTCAGTGAGCATTTGGGTCCTGACGCGCTCGATAAGTACGTGCTGACGGTTACAGCTCAAGACAGAGGATCACCTCCGCTTTTTGTCCAGACCGAAGTGGTCATCACAGTGAGGGACAAAAGCACGCCCGTGTTCGAGAAGATGTATTACAGGGTGCGCGTGGCTGAGAACATTTCCCCCTACACCCCGATCCTCCACGTTCACGCCATCAGTCCGTCAGGATTCCGCGTGATTTATAACATTGTCACTGAAAATGCCCTCAGGCTGTTTGCCATCGAGTTCAAGGCCGGCGTTTTGAGCGTCGTCGACGCGCTGGATTACGAGAGCCAGACCCAACACGTGGTGACGGTGAGGGCCACGGATTCCATGACCGGATCCTCGGCGGAAGCGGTGGTTGAGATCGAAGTCCAAGACGTGAACGACAACCCTCCCATTTTTACAGCACGGGCGTACGGGGCAGTGCTGTCCGAAGCTTCGATCGTCGGCACCTCCGTGGCACAAGTCAAAGCCACCGACGCGGATTCCGGGCGGAACAAAGCCATCAGTTATCAGTTCGTGGCCAACGAGTACAGCAGATTGGAGTACTTCTACATCGACTCCAACAGCGGTCTGGTCACAACAGCACGAGCTCTCGACCACGAGAAGATCCAACATTATGCTCTCGTGGTCAGGGCTGTGGACAACGGCATTCCTCCATTGAGCAGTGACGTCCTGTTGAATGTCAACGTCTCAGACTTCAACGACAACCCGCCCATGTTTCAGCAGGACCAGTACGCGACCACCATAAGCGAGGTGGCCACATGCGGGCACTTTGTCATACGGGTTCAGGCGAGTGACGCCGACAGTATGGACATCAATAACCTGGAGTACGTCATCCTGGAGGGGAACGAGCAGAGGCACTTCACCATCGGGACGAAATCCGGGATCATTTCCGTGTCGAACTCCTGCAAGAAAATCCTGAGGTCGAACTACCACCTGAACGTGTCGGTCTCTGACCGCGTGTACAGGCGATCGATTCCCGTCCGGATCAATACCTCCCAGACCAACAAGTACGCCCCCGTGTTCGATCAGAGCGTGTACGAGGTCGAACTCCCGGAGAACGCCGAGGTGGGCACTCATGTGATTGAGCTCCTGGCCGTGGACCCGGACGCAGGTCCCTACGGCAGCATAGACTACACAATCATTAACAAGTTGGCCAGAGAAAAGTTTAGCATCGACGGGAAGGGACGCATTTTGACGTCTCAGAAGCTGGACCGGGAGAATTCGACGGAGAGGGTCATCGCCATCAAGGTGATGGCAAAGGACAGGGGAGGCAAAGTGGATTTCTGCACCGTGAACATCATCCTGACGGACAAGAACGACAACGCACCTCAGTTCCAAGCCGCCGAGTACAACATCCACATCCCCGCCAACACTTTCAAGGGAGCCCCGGTGATCCAGATAGTGGCCATCGACGCCGACGAGGGGATCAATGCGGACGTCGTGTACTCAGTGGCCTCCAGCGAGGCCAACGCCGAGGAAATCTTGGACATCAACCCTGTTACCGGCTTCATCACCATTAAGGAGAGTCTGGTCGGGCTGGAGAACAGTTCGTTTACTTATCACGTCAAAGCCCAGGACGGAGGCTTCCCTCAGCGGGATTCCTGCGTCCCTGTGCGGGTCAAGGTCATCCCTCCTGAGCTCTCCATCCCACGTTTCTCTGAGCCGCTCTACTCCTTCTCAGCCTCTGAGGATCTCCCGACCGGCTCGGAAATCGGAGTGATTAAGGCCGAGGCTGATCAGCCGGTTATCTACAGTCTGGTGAGGGGCAACACAGCCGAGAGCAACAAGGGAGGAGTCTTTGCCCTGGACCAGAAGACGGGCACCTTAAAGATCGAGAGGAGCATCGACCACGAGAAGACCAAATGGTACCAGATCGATGTCATCGCCACCTGTTCCTACAAGGAGGTTGAAGTGGCCTCTTCTGTGTCCATCAATATCCAGGTCAAAGACGTCAACGATAACCATCCGGTTTTCGAGGCCAATCCTTACAAAGCTTTCATTCCGGAGAACCTGCCGGCGGGAACCACGGTTATCCAGGTGACAGCCAACGACCAGGACACCGGGACCAACGGGCACGTAAGCTACCGGCTGTCCAACGAGTTCGATCACGTGACGGACATTTTCGCCATCGATGGAGAGCGAGGCTGGCTCACCACCCTGAGGGAGCTGGACTGCGAGGCAAAGGCTTTCTACAAGGTTGCCGTGGTGGCGGTCGATCATGGAGGGAGGGTCCAATTGTCCTCGACGGCCGTGGTGGAGGTGGAAGTCAGCGACGAAAACGACAACCCCCCACAGTTCACGTCGGGCGTCTACAGAGGGACGGTCAGCGAGGACAGCGAGCCTGGGGAGACGGTGGCCTTTCTCACTATGACGGATGCTGATATGACAGACCCCAATAGATACGTCACCTGCTACATTACAGGTAGGTCTTGGTGCAAAAATTGCACCGGTTTTGTGTGCTTGAGATGCTCAGGCTCGAAATTCCACCCGGTCCCAGCCTGGAATACAGTTTTGTGTTAAAATTTATAGGTAGCGCAGAACTGTGGAAATTTCCCAAAAAGAAGACCGTCTCAAAGGCAAGAGTGAGGGAGGCAGATAGAATCGTGGAAATAACAACCCTTGCATTGGTATAGAACCTGATCGCGTCGTTGAGACGTCTCAAAGCGCTTCACAGAATGTACTGTAAAGTGTATATTTTGTGGGCAAAATTTTACATCACAGAAGAAGGCCATTCCATCTTCTTGACTGTGCCGGATTCCTTTAAGAACAGTCCTTTCAATCACATTTCCCCTAGCTTTCACCCCCCACCCCCCACACCCGCTCCCCCCCACACCCCCCCGACACACACCCCCACACCCCACCATCCCCCCGGGGCCATACTTAAATCTAACAGTTGTGTGATTGTATCTCTTACAATGTCCGAGTAGAAAGTCTGGATTCTTTGTTCTCTCAGGTGGAGATCCTCTTGGGCAGTTCTCCATTGACCAAGTTCCAAACCAGTGGAGAGTTTATGTCAGTGAAGCCCTGGACCGAGAGGAGAAAGAGAAATACATTTTAAACATCACGGCCACCGATGGCAAGTTTCTGGCTGAATCTGTAGTTGAGGTTTTCATCCTTGATGTTAACGATAACAGCCCTCAGTGCCAACAGGTAAGATCACACAGCAAACCGATCATTTTACATGGCCAGTGGGTACTAATCCTTGTTCTTATAGCATCTTATAACATGTCTGTAACGTGTGGTGACTGTGTGTTTGTCGACCAGAATATTCTGTAAAGTGAATTAATTGACTGTATGTTTTGTGGGCAAAGTTGAACTGCTCGGAACACTACATAAATGCAAGTTGTTGTTGAAGTCGTCGTTGTAGATCAAACAAATTTGCAAGCAGCAATGCCCCACAAACAGCCGGGAACAACAGCAACAACAGCAACAACTTGCATTTATATAGCGCCCCCACCCCCCACACAGGGTAGCGAGTCAGAGCGAACTCTTCTCTTTTCGAATAGTGTAGAATAATCAGGATCTTTAACGTGCACCTGAACAGCCAGACGGGGCCTCGCGTTTAACCTCTCATCCGAAGCCCGGCACCTCTGAGAGTTCAGCATTTTCCTCCTAGTTCTGCTCTGGAGCCTAACAGCTCAAAGTTCTGAATCAGGGCTTAGATCCCAAACCTTCTAACTTAGAGGTAAGAGTGCTACCAAGTGAGCCAAGGCTGAGACTATAGACAGGATGGTTTCGTCTCTGAATTTCCCATTTTAAAGTGTGGGAGTGGGGGAGAAATATCCGTTCTTATCTTATCCAGGGGTGGGGTGGCGGGGATTCAGCCTGACTCAATTTGCGACACACGGGGACATTGGGGGGGGGGGTATTTTGTACAATACTGTTATTTTTCACCCCCACCCCCTCCACTCCCCAAAAGAGTCTCCTCAAACAATCCACTCAGCACACCACTGAGAGTGACCCCGTGAGGAAGGGCACCTCTCCACCCTCCGCAGAGAACGTGTTGAGTGCTGCCCCTAGCCTTTCGCAACAGTCAACAACCAAAGGGGTAGAAACATGAGAAGAAAGATCTGGAGATAGTTCGCATGCTGATCAGGAACACTGAGAGAAGACAGTGAAACCCTGTGCGCTCGTTAAAAGCCTTTACTTTGAAGTTGGACCTTCTCTTTCATCAGCTGACATACACCGAGGCCATCTCGGAGGGGGCGCCTTCGGGACAGTTTATTGTGAAGGTTTCTGCAAAGGACTCAGACGCGGGCATCAACGCTCAGATCTCTTACACTCTGCTCGGGCCCGCCACAGGCGAGTTCAGGCTCGACCCACAGACAGGTAAGCAAAGGCACGCTAAGATAGTCGCCTTGGTGTTTTGGATGTTTTACATTCGCACATCACGCCAGTAATTGACCGTGACAAACTGCAATGACAAACCTAGCTCCGCAGCCCGGGGTTTAGACAGGTTTCTCAAGAAACTAAGCGATCTCTCCAAAGTGTTTGCCCGGTCGTTGGTTAATCCCAATCCCCGGATAGTCAGGAATTGTTTCGTTGAGAGAGGGAGAGTGTGTGTGTGTGTGTGTGTGTGACAGAAATAGAGTAGTGTATGCGGATCTATGACTCAATTTAACCCCTTCTTGCACGATTCTCAATGGGTAGCAGTTTTACTTGCAAGGGGATCTGGAAGGCAGGAATCTTTGGCGCAAATCTTGCGAGTCCCTTGTCCCATCCACTCCACCGTCGGTGGACGCGCTTTCAGCTACTACCCCCCCCCGAAGCTTTGGAAATCGCCGTAGGCTCCCCCACTGTTAAGCGCTCCGAGACGCTGCCACGTGTGAAGGGCGCTGTGTAAATGCAAGTTGTTGTTGATGTTGTGTTGCAGTGTCAGCCTAGGCTAGTGCAGTCAGTAGGGGAGATTGTGCCCCACTAATGTCTCTATCTTGCCTCAGGGGAACTGACCACATTTGCCCCTTTGGACCGGGAGAGCCAGGCTGTGTACAATCTGGTGGCTAAAGCATCCGATGGGAGTGGACAGTATTGCGAGATGGACATTGTTCTCGTGCTGGAGGACATCAATGACAACCCGCCCAAATTCTCGGCCCCTCAATACTCAGTCTCCATCTTTGATAACACGACGATTAAGACTCCAGTGGCTGTTGTTCATGCCAGGGATCCAGATGTTGGTAGGAATGTTTTTTTTAAAAATAGCCCCTGAGTGGCACAAAAGTTCTCATGGCCTTAGCCCGAAGACCACGAGCTTCGAAATTCCACCTGGTCTTAGCCTGTAAAGACCATTTTACCGTAAACTCTGAGATCTGAAATTCTTCAATTCAGGTTTAGTTTGGAAGCCGCTTTTCTGCGGTTCTTGTATTTTAACAAAAAAGTTTTCAAACCGAGCATTGCCCACTGTTCCACGCAATCCTGTATTGCAAAGCAAAATCACCTTACAGGCTAAGAATAGGCGGCATTCCGGGCGGGCCACTTGTCTTAAAATTTAAGATTAAGAATGGTCCGTTATTGGCAAAATTGTCAATTGTTGGAAGAATTGTTGGAAAAATCTTCACTTCAGTTTTAATTTGTAAAGAGGTGTTCCACAGTACTTTGCAAGTAAAGCTTTACAGGTGAGTATGGCCTGGGTGATGCAGTCTGGTAATTCCCTGATTGTTTTTTCCTTCCATTAACAGGTCTCAATTCAGAACTCACCTATTCCTTAGCAGACTCCGCCAATGGTTTTTTCTCCATCGACGAGCACTCTGGGGTTGTCTATCTGGCAAAGGCTTTGCACGATGAGCGGCAGGCAAACTTTGACCTGTTGGTGCGGGCCACGGATCAAGGTTCCCCCCGGAGACTCTCCTCGTTGGTTCACTTGTTTGTCTCGGTCGTGGATATTGACAAGTTCGTCCCCGTGTTCCGGAAAAGGGAGTACGTTGCCACAGTTCCTGAGAGTGTGAGCAGCGGTTATCAGATACTGAGTGTGTCAGCACTGACAAAGGACAGGACCGACACAGCACAGATCCTCTACTCTATCTCGAATGGCAACGAGCACAACAAGTTCTACATAGATCCCAAAACAGGTAAAAATATAAATAAATAATCACAGAATCTTACAGCACAGAAGGAGGCCATTCAACCCATTGCGCCTCTGCTGGCTCTTTGAAAGAGCTACCCAACTAAACCCACTCTCCCGCTCGTATCCCATAGCCCTGCAATTTTTTTCCTTTTAAGTAGCGTAATAATCATAATAATCCTCGCATTTGATATAGCGCCTTATCACATCATCCAGATGTCTCAAAGTGCTTCATAGAATATACTGTAAAGTGGAGTACCTATACCTTAAAGTGGATATATTCTGTGGGTGAAACACATGGCAGAGTCCCACAAAGAGTCTTGGATTGAGTGACCAAATTATTTTTTTTTATGCGATGCTCCTTAAAGTCTGTTGGTTGACTGCCTGTGTGCTCCTAATAATATCATTTCTACGCAATACTATTTCAGTTCAGTTCTGTTGGCGGGACATGACCTGTGGGCAAATGTCCCAAATTTTACCCCAAATTGTAATGAAATGAATTCCCAGAACAGGAATGACGAGTGCTGATGTGTGTGCAGTGGACAGTGAATGCGTTGTGTTTTCTACTGAGCTATTGGTGATCAGGTTAGGGTTCATTCGCTGTCCTGTGTGTAGGAACTGTGTACCTGAATGGGACCTTGGACTTTGAGACCTGTCGCGAGTACTATCTGTCGGTGGAAGGGACCAGAGAAGGGAAGCCCTCGTTCAGTGACAGTACCACAGTGATCATCAATGTTACAGACGTCAATGATAACCCACCTCGCTTCAGCCACCGCCTTTACAACGTGGAAATCAGCGAAGACGCTACACTGGGAGCATCGGTGATAACAGTAAGAACCAATTTCCTTCACAGAAAAAATATGATTCAACAACAGCGACAGCCAATCACATTTACACGGCACCTTTCGTGTTGGGAGGACGTCCCAAGGCGCTGGATAGTTAGGAATTTTTGACCCGAGCTGGTGGTTGGGATCAGGAGGGGTGGAGGGCAGGGAGGGTGGGGGTAGGAGGGGTGACCGAAGGCGCGGTCAAAGAGCAGGGTCTTGAGACTTGCCTTGAAGGAGCCAAGGGAGGGAATGAGGTGAAGGTTTGGTTTGGATACTCTTGAGCATGGTGATGGATTTCCGCCTGTGTCAGATACCTAGCTGATCAAAAAAAAACACCGTGGGCGATGGAGGAGAGAGAGGCTGTGATCACTATACATGGATATCACATTCCTGAGAGGTAAAAATATTCCCCCTAATTCTATGGAATGATAGATCAATCTTCCCATTTTTTCCCGAGTAAGGATTGGGAACCCAAACAAAATCTGCGATAGGGAATGTGCATCTGAATCTTGTATCTCCTCTAGTCTTGTAACAAGTAACCCTGTGTTTGCTCTAGTTGATGGCTGATGACCGAGATGGACCTCAGAACAACCTGATACATTATTCATTAGTCAAAGGCGACACAAGGCAGCAGTTCAGCTTGAACTCAAGGACTGGGGAGATTTCGGTTTCACAACGTCTCGACCGAGAGAAGGTCAGTAAATACAAATAGTTTGCGATGGAGGGAATGGGAGGCATAGTTTGTAAGGCTGCCCTTACGAGACGGAAAGCTTTGTTCTTGCACCCTCGCTGAGCGGCACAATAAATGCTTCTCATCGATGGGAGCTAGGCTTCCAATAATAATAATCCTTGCATTTGGTAATGGACCTTTCACAAAAGGAGGGCCATATGTCTCAAAGCGCTTCACGGGATTCCTGTAAAGTGTAGTCACTGGGCGAACTCGACCTATTTTGCACACAGCCACATCCCCAACAGCCATGGAGAAAAAGACCATATTATTTTATCATTTGGGGGGATTGCTGGCCGGGACACAGGAGAAACTACCTACTCTTTTCAAATAGCGCTGCGGGGATCTTGTAACCTCCACCTGAACAGGCAGACTAGGTTTAAACTAGGTTTAAACGCCGCATCTGGCCAGTTCTCGCGAGTTCCCTGGCGAGACGCTATGTCACAGAATGGTACTGAAACAATCAAACCGTTTGAACTTAATATATTGGTGACTGACGTGTGTTTTGTGTGTTTCCCCTCAGATATCCAGTTACTCGGTGACAGTCCGAGCGACTGACAACGGTGCTTTTCCTCTATATAGTGACACGGTTGTGAACATCAATGTTTCCGATGTAAACGACAATCCGCCAATGTTCTTTCAGTTCAACTACAGTGTGGCTATTCAGGTGGGTGGAGTTCATGTCTCAAAGCTGTCGACTGGGACCATTTGTTCATAAGAACTGGTTGGTTCTCCTGCATCAAACAATATTAACATTCCACGATCAAAAATAAATGAGCTTGTGAATGTAAGTGCTCCGAGATATTTTCCCCACATGAAAGGCACTGTATAGGAGGTAAATCTAAAGCCCTCGCTCGTAGCCATAGGTTCAGAGTAGACGTTGGAACTAGACCAGACGTTCGGCAAACTCGGTGACAAAAAAATGTTCACGAGCCCGATGAAAGACATCGCCCGTAATAGTCTCACACTCTTTAAGAGACGAAGAAAAGAACCTAATTAATAATTAAAAACTCTGTGAGTAAGAACTAGTGATTCACACTGTATAAATAAAATTGTTCAATATAACGTGGGTTTCTGCCCCTATAGGAGAATGAACCGATTGGGCGCAGTGTGTTGCAGCTGTTGGTGTTCGACCGAGACTCTGCCTCCAATGGGGCTCCTTTCCTGTTCACCATCGCTGCCGGTAATGAGGGGAACAACTTTCAAATAGACCATCAGGGCCTCCTGAAAACCTCCGCACGCCTTCGGCAGCAAACGAGAGATCACTATGTCCTGCAGATCCAGGTAAATGTTCTCCAGGGCGAGAGAGCGAGAGAGAGAGAGAGAGCGAGAGAGAGAGAGAGAGAGAGAGAGAGAGCGTTCCATTCACAAACACGGGAATTTCCACAATTTCAGTGGCACTCACGGAACTCTCAGTCTGGTGCAGTCAATCTTAAGCGTTGTGCCTGGTTCCTGCGTGTGTCGGACACCCATCCGACCAACACAAACACAACCTGTCAGTTGCTGCGCGTGAAGGGCAAAAGGTTCCTCTTATGTAAACGCTTTCAAGCTCCGAAGCTACTAATGAATAAGCATAGGTCAACATCAGAGCAGAAATTCTGTCAAAACTCCTCACGGTTGCAATTGATCTCGGCTAAAATGGGGATTAATACGTGCTAAAGTGCCCGGGGAGATCCTGAAGTGGCAATATCACAATGGAATCTAAAATGCAGGTTGGGTTATCAGCCCATGGGCTAACGCTGTTCAAAGGCACAGAGCTCCCATAATTATGAGTTTAACCAATGAACAGGATTATAGAATCCACTGTAATCCTCTTCACCGGTTAATAATGGAAATATGGGCATCTGTGCGTCTTTGAACATCGCTGGCTTAAGGGCTATTGGCCCAACCCGCATTTTAGAGGCTCGATATTAACAAGCGTTCACAGCCACAGCTACGTGCTGTCACATGCCCAATGTCCTAAACCCTGGACAAAGGGGTTGACAAAGCTTCCTTCACGGGTGCCAGGGATCTCCGTGCATTTGCATAACTCCTTCCTAGAAGGAATTTCAGCAGAGTCTTAAAAATTGTGACGTTTTTCCAGGCGGCTCTCCTTAACGCCAACTCCTGAGCTGTGGGCTTTGGTGGAACCTTGCGGAGAGCTGGCGTTAAGGCCTGAACGGTGGAATTGTTCAAAACTTACAACGTTACGGGAACGTCTGGGATCGGGTGGGATTTCTGGCCACTGTGCTTTAACTTGTTTCTCCCCCCCCCACCCTCACCACCACCCCTGTCGCTCTCCTCCAGGTGATGGACAGTGGCTGGCCACCTCTCTCCTCCTCCTCCTTTGTCAGGATCCAGGTGATCGAGGAGAGCAGACACCCTCCCTCCGTCCTCTCCCTGAAGATCTACATCGTCACCTCCCGCGGCAACTTCCCCGGAGGTTTCATCGGGAAAATCCACGCCACGGACCGGGACCTCCACGACACGCTGACCTACAGCGCCGCACCCGGCTTCCTGGAAGGGGGGCTGTTTTCAGTTGGGAGCGCGGATGGCGCAATTCTGGCTCGGAGCGCGTTGGGAGCCGGGCGCTACCCTTTCAACGTGAGCGTGAGCGACCGCAGGTTCACCACCACTGCGGCTGCCGAGGTCCTCGTGGCCCGCGTGACTCAAGACGCCCTGGACCATTGCGTGCTCCTGGAGATCAGGCAGCTCACCCCGGAGAACTTCATCAGCCAGCATTGGCGTGGCTTCCAACGCTATCTGAGCAACCTGCTAGCCGTGGACAGGAGCGACGTCGAGATGGTCAGCCTCCAGCCCGTGCGAGGCTCTTCCAACCTCAACGTGCTCCTGGCGGTAAAAGAGTCGGAGAGGGCCTTTTATCAGCCCGACCTGCTGCAGGCAAAGATCTCCGGCTCGGCGGATGGGCTGGAAAGGACGGATGATCTCCGGATCGAGAGGGTATCTCACCGGTGCTCCCACCACAACTGCTCGGCCAGACAGTGCCAAGCCAGGTTCCAACTGGACACAGCAGACATGTTCACCTACACCACGCCCACCATCAGCTTCATCCTCCCCCGCCATCGCCACAGTCAGGGCTGCCCGTGTGATGGTAAGGTTTCCCATCAATGGGCATTTCTCCATCACTGGTACCGGGGTGGGGTGGTAGGGGGTGTTGCATTGTCAGATGTGCCGTCCTCCAGATAAGACGTTAAAGTGAGCTCCCCGTCTGCGCTGTTCGAAAAGAGAAGGGAGCTTCTCTCTCCCAATTTCTTAGCCAAGACAATCTCCCAAATAAAATTGGTCATTCATTTCATGGCTGTTCGTGGGACGCTGCTGTGTGCAAGTTGGCTGTCGCGTTTCGCCCACAAAATAATACACAGTCACTCCACTTTACAATAAATCCTGTGAAGTGCTTTGAGACATCTCAAAAATGGGACGTCCTTCCGATGTGAAACACCTTATTGTCTTACTTCAATAAGGCGCTGTGTCAAATGCAAGGATTATTTTTTACCAGGAAAACTGCCGAGATATGCTGCTAAGCGAGTCACGTCTAACCTGTGTGTCTCGGTTGGTTTCAGGCACTGCCCAGAGGTTCACTGGCCGGAGCTACACCAAGTATCAATACCTGAACGAGGAGAATCCCACGGACTCCACGTTCCGATTCCGAATGCAAACACGGCAGTCGGAGGCTTTGCTGATGTTCACCAATGGGACTGACTCCAGTCTCCTGGAGGTAAAGGTAGCGGCAGAAGCGACTTCACTGGGTCATAGCCTTAGAACCGAAGGCGACAAAGAATTGTGCCAAGTTCTTATAACTGGAAGATGTTTGTCCTTTTTCTGCTCTTTTTTTGGCGTATCGCAGAATATAGCTGCGGCTTTACTTTCTCTTGACCTGTTGTGAGCTCACGTTGCAAGACTTTCCCTTGCGACAGTTGTCTCTCTTTCCTCCCTCCCTCGCTAAACTCCACCAGTGTCCGGCGCTCCGAGGCTCTGCTCTGCATGAAGGGCGCTGTACAAATTTCAAGCTGCCGTCGTCGTCTAATCTCACTGTTGTCGATTGTCAACAGATTTCCAATGGGAGCCTGGTACTCGCGTACAGGTGCGGTGCCAGCAGCCAGACCTTGTTGTTGAAGAGCATCCAGGTCAACGACGGAGCCTGGCACTCCGTCCTGGTGGAGGTGAAGGGGAGGTCTGCCAAGCTGGTGGTGGACACGACGCACAAGTCCTTCGCCACGCTGCACGAGTCGTGCCACATCAATGGAGCCGTGTTCTTCGGCGATAGAGTTCAGGAGGGCAGCGATGGTCTCAGCCAGACCCGGCCCCGGCCCCAGTCGGCCGGCGGGGGCTACAGGGGTTGCCTCGACCGCATCGAATTCCACAGCGACGACGTCTCAGCCGGAGAGATTCCTATTGTGGTTCGGGTGGTGGTCGACGAGTCGGTCAGAGTCCAGCCGTGCTGCCCCAATATAGGAGACTGCGCCAGCGCCACGTGTCAGAATGGAGGATCGTGTATTGAGATTTCACCGGGAGGTGAGGACACGTCACTGCACTCAGACAGGGAGATAACTGGCTTGTGACAGACCCTTTTTCGACCCCAGATAGTTGGCTCTTCCAAGTACCTTCCCATTTATACTCAAACACAAGGATTCTGGTCGTTATCAAGAACGTGAGCCGGGTTTAGATCATCGTGAAACGGTTTATAATAGTATATTAATAATATTCCTTGATACAGCGCCTTATTAGGTCATCGCCACATCTCAAAAGCACTTCGCATAGCGTTCTGCAAAGTGGCGTGCGTGAGACTGTGTGCTTTCCGTGGGCGAACGAAGCAACCAATTTGAGCACGAAAGGAAATCCCACAAACAGGCACGGACTGCGGAGGGGATTGGGGGATTTTATTGGGGAGATTGATGGCCAGGGACAGGTTTACTTTACTGATTGTGGAGAGCAGCAATTCCCCGTGCTGATGTTTCTAGGATTACAGGGAAAGAACATCACTGCCAATGGTTACCAGGTGTCTTTTGTGTCTATGCAGTGTCACTTCATAGCGCTTACTTGTTTACCGGAGTGCTTTATCTCCCCAAAACGTTGCAAAGATAGACTCGCAGAATGATTTAGTTTCTTTGAAGTGTAGTCGTTTCTTTGAAGCGACCATTGTGTAGGTAGGTAATAACCCGTAATCTGTGCCATCAACTGCCCTCCATTCAACAACGAGATGAAGGATTCAACTTAATCTGACAAACAGAAGCAAAGCCAAGGTGATAAGGCTATCTACACTGGTAATGCGTGCCTACAATAGGATCCTATAGGAATGCTACAGTGTGAGGCCAGGGTAGGGGAGTCTGGTCATCACCCTGTGCCAGGGTAGGCCAGTAATTAGCAGCCAGCAATGCCAGAGATATGCGATCCGTGCAATAAGTGAAACTTGCTGCGCATCGATTTTTGTACCACAGTAAACCTCACGTAAGTCATACGTATCAGGTGGGTCCATACATTCAATATGATTTGCACAAAGTTTGAGTCATGTCAACCTTGCATAGAATATAAACTCTTGAACCGGATTATACGACTTACAAGGATCAGATTTATGTGGGTTTTACTGTACTTATGGATTCCGTGCGAGGGCAGGCCCTAAGTTCCTCCCAATCTGAGCCAGCGGAACGGAGCCAAACTGTGGAAAGTGCTGAAACCCAGCCCTAAACTTGGGCACCGACTTAGACGGTTGAGATCAAATGGTCCCATGAGGCTGAGGACTGTGTGGGGTGGAATTTCAGGCCTGGTGCTGTCGCTCACCTCTGTCCTTTCATTCCTTCGGCCCAGGTTATTTTTGCGAGTGTGCGGAGAGCTTTACTGGCGCTCACTGTGAGCTGAGACCAGATGCCTGTACCTCCCAGCCCTGTGTCAACGGTGGAACCTGCATCCCACAGAGGACCAGCGACAACTGTAACTGTACAAAGGATCCCCGGTAAGGAACAGGGACACACAAGTCTGCTCATTGACATCTAAGGGGAAATAGACAACAACAACTTGTATTTATTTAGCGACCCTCATGCACGGTCATGTCCCAGAGCGCTTAGATATAGTGTCAGCACAGGGTGGATCTGTAATAATAATAATAATAATAATAATCCTTAAATTTGACACAGCGCCCTATCACGTCTTTGAGACGTCTCAAAGCGCTTCACAGAATATACTGTGAAGTGGAGTAATTGTGTATTTTCTGGGCGAAACACGGGAGCCAATTGCGCACAGCGAGTTCCCCACAAACAGTCGTGGGTTGAGGGTAAAGGGACGAAAAGGAATAGGCGGAGAAATCTTGTCATTTTTAGAGTCATAAAGACTTTACTGAGGCTGCAGCTGCGTAGAGTGAAGTGAAGGCTCTCTGTGTAGATGGAAAGCTTGTCAGTAACACACCACCCGATGGTCGAGCGGGTAAAGCCAGATAGAGCGTGGATTCCATTCCCATTCCATCCCCAACACGGGAAAATTTCCCATGTGTCGGTGGCACACACAGGTGGGACTCTCGGTTTAGGTTGGATGCTCTCTCTTAAGCGATGGGGATGGGTTCCCACATGTGACAGACACCAAAAAAAAAAGATGGTGGCTTAACTTTCTTCAATCTCCTCTCTCTCTCCCTCCCTACTTCCCTTCCCCGCCTCCCACACCGCCACACCCCCCCCCCCCTCCACACCACCCCGACACCCCCTCAGGTGTGAAGAGAACCCGAGCCAATGCATAGAGAGGACCTGCCTGGATAACATCAACTGCAAGAACCCCCAACACTCATTCAACTGCAGTTGCATGCCCGGCTTCACGGGGACACTGTGCGATCACAGTTTAGAGGGGCTGTTGCAGAGCACCCCACTGGTGATCAGCTCCCAGGAGATTATAGAGATCATCATGGCCGTGGTGGGCATCTGTGTCCTGGTGGGCATCTTTGTTGCCTTCCGCAAGCTGAGTTGCAAGCGGAAGGAGCGCCTGAAGGCCAAAGATGGCAACAAGCTGTCCAAGGGGCACCCGGAGAGTAACGGGTACTGCGATGCCCACATCCCGCTCAACATCCTGAGGGATTACGACCTGGACAGGGAGTCGTACGACGGAAGGGAAGCACAGACCGGCCAAGACATGAGCACCTTCATCTCAACCAAGCAGAGAGAGAGAGCCACTGTCGTGTGCAGCGTGGCTCCCAATCTGCCGCCTCCACCCCCGTCCAGCTCCGACAACGAGTCCATCCCCAAGAGGCTCTGGGAATACGAATATGAGGGTGAGAACAGCTCCTGGGAAAGGTGGGGTAGTGGGTGTGGAGGAAGCTACCAGGTGATGTGGTGTTTGGGTGGCAAGGCAACAGCAACAATAAATTGCATTTGTACAGCGTCTTTCATGTCAGGAGGATGTCCCAAGGCGCTGGGCTAAGGGAGACAATACAATGGAACGCATGGCCTGACAGTGTCGGTGGAAACGGATTCAATAACAACTGTCAAAGGGGAATTGGATATGTATTTGGAAGGGGAAAGTTTGCAGGGCTACGGGGAAAGAGCGGGGGAGGTGGGACTGATTGGGAAGGTTTTCCAAAGAGCCGGCAGAGGCACGATGGACCGAATTGCCTCCTTTCTGTGCTGTAATATTCTATGATTTTAATACTAATTTACATTTATACCACGCTTTTCGCATAGCCAGCTTGTTGCTTTGTCCACCCTCCCACACCCCCTCCTTCCCAAGAGCGTAACGGTCCGGGCTCTGAGCCCGAGCTGGGGGTGGGAACCGAGGGAGTGAGGGGTGGGGAGGGGAAAATGGTGACCAAAACCGTGATCGTAAAGAAAGGTCTTGAGACGGACTTTGAATGAGATGAGGGAGGGAGTTGGAGTTGGAGGGACTCCGGGATGGAGTTCCAGAGAAAGTGGGGTACAGATTGGCTGAAAGAAAGAGCGGACGGCGCTTTGAGAGAGGTGGCTCTGACGCGATGGGGCGAATGGCCTCTTTCTGTGCAGTAAAATAATAATAATCCATGGATGTGATATGGCGACTTATCACGTCTTCGAGACGTCCCGAAGCGTTGCCGCTGTTGTAATTAAGATTCCGCTCGATCGCTGACTCAGGATCCACGGACTCGGGGGGGTGGGGGGGGGGGGGGGGGGCGGCCTGGCTGCATTGTGCTTGTTGGGGGAAGAGAGAGGTTCCCTTCGGTCTGGTTCACTACAATTCCTGGTTGGAAAAAGCAATGAGTTCAAAAATTTAAGAGAGAGAGAGAGAGAGAGTGTTGTGCAGTCTGGTGCACAGTGTGCGCAGGGTGTGTAGTGCGTATGGTGCACAGTGTGTTGTACAGTGTGTGGTGTGCAATACAGTGTGTGTGTGTGTTACGCAGTATGTGTGTATATGAGTGTGTGTGTGTGTGTGTGTTTAATAACTTAGTGTGTTTGTAATACAGTGTGCATGTGTGCAATAGTATGTGTGTAATAGTGTGTGTATGTGTGTAACAGTGTGTGGGTATGTGTGTGATAGTGTGTGGGTATGTGTGTAATAGTGTCTGTGATTGTTTGGGTGTGTAATAGTGTGTGTGTAATAGTGTGTGTGTGTAATAGTGTGTGTAAAATAGTGTTTGTGTAATAGTGTGTGTGTAATTGTGTGTGTGTGTAATAGTGTGTGTGTAAAATAGTGTGTGTGTAAAAAGTGTGTGTGTAAAATAATGTGTGTGTGTAATAGTGTGCGTGTGTAATGGTGTGTGTGTGTGTGTGTAGGACACCGTATTACAGAGCACGTGTCAGGCGGAGACTCACTAACCTGGTGTTATTTACAGCGTACAGCGGTGAGGCAGTGACATGGCCGCCTGAGTCACCGAGGAGAGTGGAGTTGGGCTGTTACGAGGTGATGGAGGAGGAGCTGGGGCGGCCAGTGAACAACGAGGTGGAGGTTTACGATGGTTTCCCCTTCCCCCTGGACCACCAGCAAACCCCCCGCAGCAAACGAGCCCCGCTCCCCCCGCACTACAGCGACCAGGCTCTGGCGGGCTTCGCTGACGAGGAGCCGGGGGCTTTGCTGCCCTCCCACTGCCAGAACGAATACACGGCCATCAGCTACTACCCGGCGGAGCTGCTCGAAGCCCACCTGCCTGGGGGTCCCGTGCCCCCCGGGTACAGAAAGGTCCACGTGCGTCTGAGCGTGGCTCAGCCGTCCTACGCCGAGTGCGGACCCAGACACTCGCCTCCTCTCGTCTTCCCCAACTGCTACGCGGACTCCGACCTGATGGAGAGCGACTACGGGAGCTGTGAAGAGGTCATGTTTTAACTGAAGGGGGAGCGGTTTGTTTGTTGCCCCCTCACCTCTCCTGACTCACTCACTCGCTCTCTCTCTCTTTCCGTGTGACTCCGATGCCACCTTGCCCACGCTGGTGCCCACTGCAGTGCCAACATCACACCCACGTTCCCAACTCCAGCTACTGTTGGACAGAACGATTTTTTTTCTTTCGCACCAATCTGGGGCAAGAGACTTTTTGATTTACACAAACACACACGGACACACTTTTTCCCCAGACAGTTAATCGCCCTCCAACAACGGGAGTCAGGAAAAGTTGGCAAGTCAGTGGGAATGGGCTGGTGATACGGATTCCTCAGTAGGTGCGAGGGAATCTCAAGGAGACCTGGTATCCGATCAGCCGTTGGGTGAGACGCCGGGAAAAAGGAATTATATACAAGACTGTTGGCGTTTTGACAATGTAACAATGCAATCGCGCAAACTCTAGTTACAGAGATACAATATCTCATCCCCTCGTTGGGACGGTTGGGAGATGGACAAGAATGTAATCAAGCAAAACTGCCATCCGAGCCCGTGGGATATTTCCAACCACTCGCTGGTTGCAATGCGTCCGCGTCCGTACGTTTTTCTCTGATACGGGCCGGGGTCAAAGCACGCGGGAGATTCACGACTGTTTTGTGGGTTCTGGCCGCCTGTGTTTCCCCCACAAAATACACAGCCGCTCCACTTTACAGTGTATCCCGTGAAGCGCTTCGAGACGTCTCGAAGACGTGCAAAGACGCTGTGTCAAATGGGGAGGATTGTTACGTCGCTGTGCCCGGAACTCATGTTCTATTTTAAGAGTTGTACATTGGTATTGAAGTCTTCGTGGCGGGGCAGGTCACGGTATGTAAAGTGCAAACGTGAGGTGGAAATGGCTTGTAATCGCTACGTTGATGTGCTTGACAGTGGAACCTGCTGGTGGTACCATTGTGTTGCTTTTACACACGTTCACCTCTCTCCCGCTGACTGGGTTCTGTCACCCGGAGAGGTAACACACCCGACGATGTGAATCAGTAAAACAATCAGTTTCTACGCACCTGCAAAAAAGGTCCGAGACAGAATTAAAGGCAAGTTGCTCACAGATCGATGAGAGAGCGGTCGAAATCAGGTCGTCACGACTGTTCCTTTAACAAAACGTCACCTCCTCGCACAATCGATCCGGAGGGGAGAGTCGCGGAGAAGATTCTATCAGCTCGCTCTAATGCCCTCGCTCCCATCCTCTCCCAATCTAATGCCCTGGCAGGAGCTGAACTGGCTCCCAAGGTGACCTGCTTGGCAACGGAATGTCAGAATCAAGCCAGACCTCTGTGGCGGTCTCGGTGGTCCGGTTTCTGAGCCAGACAAGTCCACGGTACAGCACAGCCCAGCCCAGCCTGACTCGTCGGCAGGACTGGAAGGCCAAACCAGTCGCTGGGGGCAGAGAATCTTTCCACTCAGCTCCTGTTAACCCTGCAAGCCAAAGCCCGAAGGGGTAGGGTGGTCCCAGCCCGACAAACAGCGAGTAACCTTGCCAGACAGCTCCCACTCTCCTGCCTCTCTCTCTCCTCTGGCCCAGGCTCTGATATCCTCACTGAGTTCTGCTGTTATCGCCCTTAGGAGCACAGACCATGAGTTTACCCTTGGGTTTCGGATAAAGTCAATGGTCAGTCAGTATTACACCCGTTCAGCTCTGCGGACATAAGTGAATGTGCTGTGCTTTTATTCTCAGTTGGAATAAGATGTGCCAAGTGTCTTTAATTTGCACGGCTGTTGTTCTTATATATTGTTTCTCTGTGAGAGCTGAGTATAGAAAGTGGTGCTGTTTTGAATTTTTTCAAAATAAATTCAACAAAAATGTGGCTTTATTTTGATTACAAATCTACGGGCAGAATACGGTTCGCCCCACCCCCCCCCCCCCCCTGAATGTACATCTCTGTACATTACACAAACGCGCACATACACACACACATACACAACTTGGTGTAAAGTTGCACATTCCCTCTACATTTTGCGCACACCAATTCCACACACATACCAGTACAAACACTGCAACACACACACACACATAAATATACATTGGCACATACTTGCACAGCGAGTTTTATGTACATGTTTTATACGCACAGGCTGTGTATAAAACACCCACTCTCATCATTGCACCTCCCCAAAAATACACTACCTTAAATAAACACCGGGTCGAAAATGCGAGCTGGGTTAATAGCTAATGGGTTAATAGCACATCTTGCATTTTAGGTCCTAGGACGTCACATACATTGAACACCATGTGATGAGTGCCACTTTGCACATTCTGACACACAGACACACACACAAAATGCATATCTCCCACACAATGCCTGCCTCGCACACCCAAAAAGGTACTGAGTAATGGACATTTAAACAATGAGACTCATACATAGAGCACAAGTGGCACATTTACCAACCACAACTATGAAGTGATTTCTCGCTGACACCCTTATCATTGACCTGACAGACGCGACTTGCCACAGCAGTTTCTGTGATTCATAGCATTCTGTGTCTGTGATTAGTGCAGGAAGGCTGTTGCAACACAGCAAAAAAAATATATGAGCTGATGAGCTCTTAAAGTCTCAGACTTTTGTAGATTTTTTTGGGAGGGTGTGTGTGTGTGTGAGAGAGAGAGAGAGAGAGAGCGATTGCGTGTGAGTGTGAGAAAGTGATTGAGTGAGCAAGAAAGTGACTGGAGTGTGGGTGAAAGAGAAAGTGACTGAGTGAGCGAGTGAACAAGACTGTGAGTGCGCGCGCGAGAGAGAGAGAGAGAGAGAGAGTGACCGTGTGAGTGAGACGGAAAGCAACGGTAGTGCCCGGCTCCCACGCATCAGTAGAAAGAAGAAGAAAAAAAAAATTCCGAACCGCTTCAGAAGAGAAGGGTGAAAATTGGTGGAGAACTATATTTTGGGGTTCAAAAATGTTGGTTGCAGTACCGTGACTATACCACGAGAGGACAGTCACATATCACCTTCGCCTGTCGGTCTGTGTGTCACATTCACAGTGAGATTTGATGGTCAGTGCGTCGTTTTAAACACGGGCACCTTTTCGTAATTCAAGGTCAGAGTAATCTCACGGCCCCAGGAACGTTAGGCACCTTGTCACAGATACCACAGGGTACGGCTGCTGAGCTGTTAAGGAAAATTCCTCCATCCAATCTATCGCGGAAGCCAGATTTTCCAAATTGCGTTTGAAACAAAAAAGAACTTCCAAAACTTCGAGATTGTTTTAAAAACATTTTCCACTCTTCCCGTTTGTCAGTCTGCGGTTCAGTTGGTAGCGCTTTCTCTCTCTCTCTCTCTCACTCTCTCTCTCTCTCGCCTTTTGAGTCAGAAGGTTGTGGGTTCAAGGCCCCACGTCAGGACTTTGAACGCACAGTCTAAACCGACACACTAGTGAAGTGCGGGTGGGGGGGGGAATGCTGCATTAACAGAGGTACCATCCTTTGGACGACGTCTTAAACCGAAGTCCATCTGCCTGTTCACGTGAAGATTAAAAGATCCCATGGTACCTTTTGAAAAGAGAAGGGAGTTTCTCTCTCCCGGTGTTCCTGTCCTACAATCCTCCAAATCGCTCACTCCACGGCTGTTTGTGGGACGTTGCTGTGTGCAACTGCAATGCCACATTTGCCTACAAATGCGCAGTGAAGAGTTTTGAGACGTCCTTCCGACGCGACGAGGCTCTATATTAAATGCAAGGTTTATTATTATTATTATTATTATCCCGTGAAACACTTTGAGACGTCCTACTGCTATGAAAGGCGCAATATCAAATGCAAGGATTATTAGTATTATTATTATTACGTCTTAAACTTGAAGACCAAGTGGTGTTTGGGTGTTTGGGTGACCCAAGTTTAGACAGTAAATGTAACTCTGCAGTAACACCTTCAGTCCAGCGTGAGGAGTCAATAATCCTACCTTAAAAACAAGCCAAGACAACCTCTTCCATTCAATACAACCGCACATAGGGACTAGAGAAAGTGGATGGTGCTTATTCCAGCCACGAACTGGAGCCTGGCTACTGAATAAATAATCAGAAATAGAAGGAATTTGTAACACAATCCAACCCAGGTGTCTTCTCTCTATTTTTTTTGCCATTTTAATCGAATTGATATGGAGCAACTGAATGTTACTGTGCATGTGAGTGTCTGTCAGTCCACTGTATCATATCAAATGCGCCTCTATACTAAGCACAAGGATCTGTTAACTGTCTCTCTCAGTAAACTCTTCATGAAACAACTCTCATCTGCCAATTCCAACCAGGATTAGCCCCTCTTACACACACACACACACACACACACACATGTTATCTAAACGTCACTGTTAAAATGTAATACGCAAAAAAAAACCCTCACAGTTCAAGGCAGCTGCAAGGTGCATATTAAACTTGAACACTTCCTCAGTCTGTGCAATCCACAACAACAATAATAATAATTATTATTATTACCCGATGTTCCCATCACTCACACTGCGGTCCTATCTGAGATCCTGTCCCCCTACACATTCCTCAACCTGCTACCAAAATAGACAGCCACTGACACTTGAGAGCATGTCCCCGTCAAGTGCTTTGAGATGTTTGGAGGATAAAGGCTCTGTTGGATGGCAGATACAAGAACTTGCAATTATTTTCTGTCTCTCATCGTCTCTCTATGTCTCACCCCCACCCCGCACCCACCACCTCTCTCCTCTCTCCCTTTCTCCGGCACAAAACAGGTTAAATTCCTGCTCATTCTGTAGCCTGTGAGGCTGTTACTGACATCTTACTAACATCTCAGCGCGATCGTATCCATAGGCTCTTACACATTCCAGAACACACCTCGCTTTATTTCTCTTTTCTCTCTCTCTCATTCACTCTCTCCCTTATCTTTATCTTATGCTGTTTTCCGCCCCCCCACCCCCGCTCTCTCTCGCTCTCACTCATTCACCTTATCTTTCTCTTACCCTCTTCATCTGTGTCTCTCACTCACTCACTTTCCTGTCTTATCTCTTTCCTTTTTTCCCTCTCACACCCTCCTCTCTCCATCCTCCTCTCTTTCTCTCTCTCTGTCGCTCTTTCTCTGTCTGGCACGGAATTGGTTAAGCCCCAAACAGATCTGGATTCTAAGTTCCTTCACACAGAGAGAGAGAGAGGGAGAGAGGGAGGGAGAAAGAAAGAAAGAGAAAGAGAGAGAGAGAAGACAGCAGAAGTATCTGAACCATCAAGATGCAAACAACGTTAAAAGGAGGGGGTAAATAAAGCAAGCGCTTTCTGGGGCAAGATAGACATCCTAGAGAGATGGATTTGGAAAGAAGGAGAGCAGGAGACTGGAGAACAGAAAAGAGATGCATAAAACGTGCAGATTTTGGGTCAAATATTTGCCACAGGCAGAGCTGAGAAGAAAAACGTCCTACAATTGATTGGTCTTGTTAAAGCCAGATCTTCATTCAACAAGCCCAGTCCCTCGTGTCCTCTCTACTTTCATCCTTGTTGTTCATCCAGAGAAAAAAAAAGATAATTGGATTTTGAATTATTTTCTCTCTTATCTCAAAAGTCTTTTGCCTCCACCCCACCCCCTAACACTCTCCTGACCCTCTCCCTCTCCTCTGGGACAATGTGACGAGCGATGAATGAGAGTAAAGTGGTGGTGAAAGATCTGTGGAATGGGGAGCCAGGGACACTGGCTGCTAGACCTCGTTGGGTGGTCAGCACCTTGGCCAGTGTCCTCATCTTCACCATCCTGGTGGACATCCTGGGCAATTTATTGGTGGTCGTGTCCGTCTTCAGGAACAAGAAGCTTCGGAAATCAGGCAAGTTGTTTGCTTTTAAACTTCACAAAAATAGGTGGCTGTTAAATGTATTTTGTGCATCCCGTAGGAGTGTAGGGGTGAGCTCGCTCGCCTCGCAAGCACGAGGACCTGGGTTCGATTCCTAGCCGGGCAGGGCAAATCGTTGGGCTAGTTTCCTTACTCCACATACCTCTGTTTACCTGGAGATAAATAGGACCCAGTTAGTCAATTGGCAGATTGCTTTTCGGGAGGTGATAATACCTAAAAAATAATTTTTTAAAAAGGAAAATAATAATTATTTGGTCACTCAATCCACGACTGTTTGTGGGACGCTGCTGTGCGCAATTGGCTGTCGCGTTTCGCCCGCAAAATATGCAGTCAATCCACTTCACAATATATTCGGTGAGGTGCTTTGAGACGTCTCGAAGACGTGATAAGGCGCTGGATCAAATCCAAGGATTATTTATATTATTTCCCATGGGATGAATGCCTCGCAGCGCTTAGGAGGTATGGTAGGGCGTAACTCAGCAGGGAGAAAGAAAGGTGAATTAAGGTTGTGGACCAGAGGCAGAGAGATGTGATCATAAGTGGACTTTGAAGGCAGGGAGGGATCAAGCAAGACAGAGAGATTTTGGAAGACAGCAGTGGGGACTGAATTGGGGAGTGAAAAGGGAGTGAGGAATGAGCAACATTCAGCTACAAATCAATAGTGAGTGATCGTGCCAAGATCTTTGCTCTCCAAGATTTATTCCTCGTTAGTTTCGCAGAGCTGAGTTCATTGGACGCCTGACGTGGATGGAAGTGCAGTCACTACGAATTGTGCCCACTCGGTGGCAGCACAGGACACAGGGACTGTAGGGTGCACAAGTCCTTGCCCCAACATTGGCTCCCAGCTGAAGCCTGTGACGGCTGTATTGTTGGGGGTTTCGCAAGACATAAAGTAGTATCTAACCAGACTAGCTGATCCTTCGCAAGGTTTGCCGAGACTCTTAACTGGGGCCCGAAGTATCAGTAGAGTCCTGTAGCTTAGTGGTTAGAGAACTCGTCTCACAAGCGAAAGGACAGAACGTTGGGCAAGTTTCCTTACTCCACACACACGCCTCTGTTTATCTAGCAGTAAGTAGTAACCCAGTTGTTAGTCAATTGGCGGATTGCTTTTTGCGGGTAATAATTCCTCTCCCCCCCCCCTCCCCATTCACGAGTGTTCGTGGGACGCTGCTGTGCCGAATTGGCTGCTGCGTTTCGCCCACGAAATACAGCCAATTCACTTTATAGTATATTCTGTGAAGCGCTTTGAGACGTCCCAAAGATGCGATGAGGCGCTACATTCAAACACAAGGATTAGTATTGTTAGCAACAGGTATCCTTGTATGGGCGGTGTACACAGACACCCGAGGCACAGATTAATGCTCGTCAGTCTTGTGAAGTTCCGTGATAATAGCGTCATTGGTAATTATACATGAGTGTGGAGCCCAGTGGTGAGAGCAGCATGTTTCCTCTCTACATTGGCATTCACAGCTCACTGCCTGAACTCCTCTATCGCCTTGTATCGAAGTCTGATTAAGTGATGCATCAACCGCACTCTCCGCGCATAACGTGATTTGGAAGGCTCTTTTCAAAGAGCCGACACAGACACACTGGGCCGAATGGCCTCCTTCTGTGCTGCGTATTTCTATGATTGGGCAGCACTTCAAGGAAGAATTTTTTTTTGCCCACGACAGGAGCTTAGTGGTTAGAGCCCTCATCTCACAAGCGAGAGGACCCGGGTACCTTACCCGGCCGGGGTGAAACCTTGGGCAAGTTTCCTTACTCCGCATGCCTCTGTTTGCCTTGCAGTAAGTAGAAACCCGGTTGTTATAATAATCCTTGCATTTGATATAGGGCCTTATCACGTCTTATTATTATATTGACAGTACATTCTGTGAAGCATTTTGAGATGTCTCAACAAAGTGATAGAGTGCAATATCAAATGCAAGGATTATTATTATGATGATTATAACTTAACAGAGTGCAAAATACGACTTGTGACAGTTTCGTTTCAAGCGAAATTAGCACATCAAATGTCACATTAGCCTTCCCAAAGTATCTGCGATCCCTTCAAGTGCTGAAACAACGACTTGACATGTCGTTGTTCCATTTAACATCGATCGATTTCTGCGCCCACTAAAACTGCGTTGAAAAAAAAGCAACGGGCAAAAGTAAATGATGTGCAAAGCTGAACTACGGTTTCGCCCGCAAAGTATACAGTCAATTCACTTTACGCTATATTCTGTGAAGCGCAAGGATTATCAAATGCAAGGATTATTATTATTATTATTATTATTAACTAAGCAAGCGTATGTGTGTGTGTGTGATGTTTTGCAGGTAATATTTTTGTGGTGAGCCTGGCGATTGCGGACCTCGTGGTAGCGATCTACCCTTACCCTCTGGTGCTGATCGCAATATTTCACAATGGATGGAACCTGGGCTACATCCACTGTCAGATCAGTGGCTTCCTTATGGGGCTTAGCGTCATGGGCTCCATCTTTAACATCACCGCCATCGCCGTCAACAGGTACTGCTGCATCTGCCACAGTTACACGTACGACAAGATCTTCAGCAACAAGAACACCCTGTGCTACGTGGTGTTGGTCTGGGCGTTGACCTGCCTGGCCATTGTCCCCAATTTCTTCGTGGAGTCCCTCCAGTATGACCCACGTGTGTATTCCTGTACCTTTGCCCAGTCGGCCAACTCCCTCTACACTGTCATCGTGGTGGTCATTCACTTCATCCTGCCGATCAGCACCGTCTCTTATTGCTACCTGAGGATCTGGATCCTGGTCATCCAGGTCAGGAGACGCGTCAAGCCTGACAACGGGCCAAAGATCAACCCCCACGACTTCAGGAACTTCCTCACCATGTTTGTCGTGTTCGTCTTGTTCGCTGTGTGCTGGGCTCCGCTGAACTTTATTGGCCTAGCTGTGGCTATCCACCCACACCTAGCAGCCCTGATACCTGAGTGGTTGTTCATCGCCAGCTACTTCATGGCCTATTTCAACAGCTCCCTCAACGCTATCGTGTACGGGGTCTTGAACCACAACTTCCGCAGGGAATACAAACGTATAATAATGGCCATCGTCAAACTGCCCTGTTAGAAGAACTTCAACGCAACCTTGCAGATACTTGGCTCGATGGGCAACCTTGCCCTCGAGAACGTTGATGGACTCGGAAGAAGAGGACAGGGCTTCAAACTCTCCACCTCGTCTCCCCATCATTCGTTTGGTTCGGTTGGTTTGTGGCCGGCAGATGTCTTTTATTCATCCATTTATCATTGAATACAATACCAAATTCGTCTAGCACCTTTCACGTCGGGAATGTGAATGAGTCCCAACACAAAAGGCAGAAAACCTCTAGCACATTAGCAACTGGAGGCCATTCAGCCCATCAACCCTCTTCACCAACAACAACAACTTGCATTTATATAGCGCCCATCCTGCAGGATAGAGTCCCAAAGCGCTTAACCAGTATATTAGTTCACATACAGTGTGTGACTCCTCGTCAAGTGGTGAAATCAAGGGTGAAACTGAGCGTTTAATCCCATTTCCCCACCTTTTCTCCAAACCACTTTGGTACCTCAATGATGTTCCTGGCACACCTAACTGGATGGCAAACTGCGTGCTACTCTCTATATTGCTAATGGTTGATGAAGGTTTCTCTGGTTAAGACCTTTCCGAAACAAGGTACGGAACACTGCAGTCCAACGTGACTTTCATTTGGACCTAATCAGTCGCGGGAACCAAGAAGCAGTCCATTGCTAAATTCGACCAGGCAATCCATCTACCTGTTATCAGCTGTTGAGATCTTTCGTCAAGGACACGCATTTGAATCCATAATGATACGCATTGATTTCTTCCTCTGATTCCCACTGCGAGGAAATGCTGGATTTCCTCGAGTCCCTGACTGCCTTGGGACGTCCTCCCGACGCGAAAGGCGCTCTATAAATGTAATTTTGTTGTTGTTGTTGTTGTCGTTTCATGATAACAATCAAATAAAAAGAATACATTTAAATTCTCACCGTCTGTTCAATAAGCAACCTTCGCCGGAACACATGTCAAGCAGATCAAGGCGGTTTGCGCTGTACAATTCAAATAGGCTCTGTCACAAAGGTCTCATTGATCAAAGCCAGTCAGAGCGGTTCTGCAAACGAGAAATTAGTCAAGGGTAAGGCAGGTGAAAGCACCTCGATTTTGCACCAAGAATGTAGCTCAAGATCAAAGGAAAAGGCTCGTTCAATACTAAAGGATCCGCTCAATTTGGGATGTGGCTTTCAGCGGATTTGAGTTCTTAAAACCTTGAACTGAATCAAAGTTAATGCCAACTTCTATTTCAAATGAGCAGAAAGTTAGGTGCGTCCCCTTGTTCCTGTTTTCCTATGGAATTCACACTCTTTGCAGTTCGAAACCTTCAACCCTTCCTGATCTGGATTGAAGATTTCCTGCAAACTTTTCCTTAATGTCCAGGAAACTGGATGACAAGTGTGATAGGATCCTCATCTTGGGCATCTCTCTGCTGGTCTCTCTGTATACGTAATAGAAGATGGACTCCCGTAGTTGTGGTTTAGAGCACTCGCCTCGCAAGCGAGAGGACCCAGGTTCAATTTCCGGGCAGGGCAAAACCTTCGGCAAGTTTCCTTAACGCACACACCTCTGTTTACTTAGCAGTAAATAGGGACCCGGATGTTAGTCGATTGACGGATCAGTTTCTGGGGGTAATAATCTCTTCACATAAAAAAATAAAATGATTTGCTCACTCAATCCACGACTGTTCTGTTTGTGGGACGCTGCTGTGCGCAATCGGCTGCCAGGTTTCACCCACACAAAATAAATACCCAGTCAATGAACTTTACAATATATTCTGGGACGCGTTTTGAGGCGTTACAAGAAGGTACTAATTGTAAGGATATCAAATGCAAGGATTATTATTATTATTATTATTAGATGATCTCTATAACCATCTCTCGCTTCCTGATCAGACGGTCAAGGTGGCTCTGAATAAAAAATAACTTTTCGACAAATCACCTGACTGAATCTCTGACATAATAATATAATAATAATAATAACAATTTTGAATTAAGATGCAATTAAAATCCAACTGGGGAAACCCCAGCGGCTTAACCAGATCTCATTATACAACCGATTGTCTCTGTAACCAGGGAAGAGGCTTTGGAAGAGCAACGAGAGGTTCTCTCACGGTGGCTGTTACAACATAAACTGAAGTGGGAATGCGCTGGATTAACACAGAGTAATGTGTCAGTCGTTACCAGCACGTTTTCGTAGTAATTGGACTATTAAAGCTTTGCAAAGCGAATAGCCCCTTTTGATTGACGCTGCCTCTGTTATACAGTACATAATAAGCCTCACAGTTACAGCTTCGAACCACAGTTACCAATCCTTGCGTTTGAGAGTTTCACATCGAACGGATGTCTTAAAGCACTCGTGCTGAAAAAACGAATAATAATAATAATAATAATCCTTGCATTTGATATAGCGCTTTTCACGTCAGGAGGACGTCCCAAAGCGCTTCACAGAACACACTGTAAAGTGAATTGACTGTATATTTGTGGGCGAACGCGGCAGCCAATGAATAAAACTCGGTGAGCAAGTTTAGAGTGGAGTCCAGTAGCGTAGGGGTTAGATTGCTCGCTTGCATTTGATACAGCGCCTTATCACGTCTTCGAGACGTCTCAAAGCGCTTCATAGAATACACTGAAATCCCTTAACCGCGCCAATCTTTGGTCTTGTTTTTAATCCGCAGTGCTCTTAAAACGCACTAATCATTTGAAGTTTAAGTCGTTTCAAACGATTATATCATTCCACGGCCGTTAAAATGATGTATAATTGCCTGTCAGACTGGCTCACTGAGTAGCACTCTCTCCTTTCAGGATCATAAATATAATAACAATCCTTGCATTTGATATAGCGCTTTTCACGTCTTCGAGATGTCTCAAAGCGCTTCACAGGACATACTGTAAAGTGAAATCGACTGTAAATTTGTGGGCGAAACACGACAGCCAATTGGGCACAGCAGTGTCCCACAAGACAGTCGTGGATTGAAGAGACCGATTTATTATTGATTTTTTTTTCTTGAGGGATTATTAGCAGGAGTGTGGAGCAAGGAAACCTGCCCAAGGTTTCGCCCCCCACTGTCCGGGAATCGAACCCAGGTCTGTCGCTCGCGAGGCGAGTGCTCTAATCACTGAGCTACAGCACTCCAAACACGTGGGACTTTCTCTCACTGCTTTGGCCGTGATTAATCAATTATTCATTCGAAGGCAACTCGAAACACAATTTTTGGTTTAGATAATTGGACTGTCCCCAGAGGGTTGCGTTTAGCACAGGATTAAAGTCCCTGCTCCTATCTCTAGGGTACGCCATCAGCCCTTATTGAATTTCACAGCAGAATTCGGCAAAATGCGTAGAAATTATTCCCTGCGTCATTCCAGGAGGCAGTGGGGAAAGAGAGTGAGCGGAAACCAGGTGCAGAAATCTCTGAATTAATTGCATTCACACCTGATTTCTGATTTGCAGTAATAACCAGCGTGAATAAACTAAGTGACAATAATAATAAAAATAATCAAATTTGAGGCAATTTACTGGGCGTAAATTGGCTGCCGTGTTCGCCTACAAAATACACAGTCACTGCACTTTAGGGTAAATCTTGTGAAGCACTTGGAGATGTCCTTCTGATGTGAAAGGCGTCATATCAGCTGTAAGGGTTATTTTTTGTTACATGATAATAACAATAATAATAATAATCCTTACATTTGATACAGTGCCTTTTCACTTCTTCGAGACGTCTCAAAGTGCTTCACAGAATATACTATAAAATGAATTGACTGCGTATTTTGTGGGTGGAAATATATTATTTCAGAATAATCCTTGACATTTGATGTAACACCTTATGTCGTCGAAACAAAGCCATTCACAAGATTTCTGATGTGAAGTGTAGTGACTGTGTTGAACTAGTGTCTAAACTATCTAAACCAAGGATGGCTTCCTCCCCCCACCCCAACCTCAACCACCCTCGTAACAACAGACAAGCAATTTGGACATGAAACACAGAGTAAATGAAAGGCACTCTCAACACAGAAGTAATTCCTTTATAAATTTTACATCAAATGTCTCAGAGCATTAAAGGGAGAGATGAAAGGGGCCGGAGAGTAATAGGAGGTTTAACAACAGTGCCGTGAGAGTGTGTAATAGAGTCATGAATAAATCCAGAGACATCCCATTACTATCAATGTCACATGTCATTAATATATCTACAGAGTCTGTATTGGTTTATTACTATCATTATTATTACAGCTCCCATTCCAACTGTGCTGGGGCAAGGTTGTGATATAATAATAATAATATCATGATCACTCAACTCTTTCAACTCCATTCAACTCTTGTTAACCCTGCAAGCCATAGACCTAATGGCTCGGGTGGTTGATCCTAAAAAAATTCTGCTTCATTAGCTCCAGTGTATTGAGGGCAAATTAGGACTTTGATGACAATAATAATCCTTGCACTTGATACAATGCCTCGTTATGTCATTGAGATGTTTGTTTCGAAGCACAACTCAGCAGCCAATTTGCACGCAGCAATGTCCCCCACACAGACACCGAGTGAATGACCAATTTTATCTGGAGAAATTGTTGAGAGAAACTCCCTTCGTTATTCTGAGTCGTGGTATGGGATAGTTAAAATCCACTTGAACTGGCAGACGCGACCTCAGTTTAATGTCTCATCTGAAGGACGGCACCTCTGACATAGCAGCGACCACACACCTAACCCTAACCCCGTGAACGGCACTAGAATTCAGCCTGAATTGTGAGCTCAAAAATCCCAAATGGGGCTTGAACCCCCAACCTTCTGCTTAAGCGGCGAGAGTGCTACCGACTGAGTCAGGCTGACACCTGCCATCGATAGGCGAGTTGGTGGCTGGTTAAATGCATCCAAACATCTCCGAACTCCACTCCAAACTGAAACATGATATCAAGAGCTGAAACGGACAATCTCACCTGCTCGACTGGAAGCAACGGGAACTTACAAGTCAAAGCGAGAATGTTTGACAACATGCAAAGAATGATGTTTGTCATTGGGGTTTGTCATGGGATAACAATATAGCCTTGCGGGCATCCTTGTTAAATATTGATTTGTTGCCCCACAACCAAACATCCAAGTATTTGTAGAAGCACCGTCAGTAAATGCCCGTAGGAAGACATGTCACAAAACGGTGCATATTAGATGATAAATGTAACAGTAGCGATGGGTTGGCTAAGTGTAAAAGCTAAAAGCAGGATCGTACCACAAAGATTGAACCTCAGAAACATTCACACTGCCATTTTAGAGAGAAAAAGAGGCAGGATTAACCCCTTCCACTCCACTGATACCAGCAAATCATTCCAATTGGGCAACAAGGCA